GAGGTCGTTTGGTCCCAGGAGCCATCTGAGCTCTAGGAACTCACTGTTGTTCACAGCTCACAGATGAGGAGACACTGAGGCCCAGCATGTTGACAGAATAACAAATTGAGTTAGAACATTTTTAAGTCAAAAGCCTCCAGTCTGTCTTTCTTTTCACTTTGGGGAATCAGTCCAGTCCTGCTGCCGGACATTGGGGAGGCCTGTAGAGGGATAGTGGGAGCCGCTTCCGTTGGGAAAGGGGATTTTTCATTCCAGAATCGAATCTCCAGCTCACCCTGCGTGCCCACGTCTGTATTTATATCCCATCTGTCACCGGCTCGACGATGCCATCCATCGTAAGATGCACCAGTATTTTCTAAACCACGAAAAAGAAGCCCCTGCTGGTTAAACTACAACGACACGCCATGGGTTGCAGGACACGGCTTGATTTGTGAGGTGCACAGGCGTGGAAAGGGGGGCTGTTAGAGTGAAATGCAGTGTTTGTGTCAGGGCAGATGGCAGTCACTTTGTGGGATTCTGGCGGCTTCCTCAGACATCTGTCTCCGGAAAACAAGTGACTTCGGATGTTTTCTGACAACGATCTTGGCCGGGGTGGCCTGGGTTCTCCGCGGGGAAAGCCCTCCCCCCGAGCCTGGTGTCTGCGTGGCCCGCGAGGCTCAGGTGAGGGCTGCAGTGCGTGGGAAGGGGCTGGAGGTCCCGCCTCATGCTGATGGCACCGACTGGCTTTTGAAATGGGCTGTCACGGGCGGACGTGGGCACTCAGCTCCCGGCATGTTTGCTGTGAGCGTGAAGGGGGCCTCTGAGCAGAAAGGCCGAGGGTGGGGTCTGGCCGGGCCCATCCCCAGCTCGGCGGCCCTGTGCCAGCCACTTGGCCTCCCCCACTCTCAGTTTTCCCCTCTGTTCAAAGGGGGTATTAATTCCTGCCTCGAACATGTATGTAAAAATTAAAGAAAATACAGAGTAAATGTTGGGAAGATAAAGGATCTTCATGCCACTCCAGGAAGGTTTGTGAACTCTCCCTCCTTAACCAACAGACAGCCGGCAAACCCCCTTCCTTTCAGGGAGCCACGCTGGCCATGCCCTGGCGCCCGCCCATCCGAGGGCATGGCCCCAGGAACGTTTCTTGGGAAAAGGAGAATCGTGTGGTTTCCCCTGGGGAGCAGGGGCTCCTGCCTCTTGTGCCTCGGGATTCCGAGACCTGGGAACTGGCAGAGGGATTCCGAGACCTGGGAACTGGCAGAGGGAAAACGTTCTCAAGACCGAGATGGCTCAGGCTGCACAGGCCAGGTCACACACAGCCCGCGTCAGGAGTTTTATCTCAAAGCCCGTGGGAGGCGCCCCTTCCTTCTTTTGGCTGCCCGGCTGGCCTGGAATTTGCTAGTTTTATGGTCTTGGGCCGTATAAGGCCGGGCCAGTGGAGGCCAGTGAGAAAACAGAGGGAGCTAGTCTCTCCCTGCCTCCTTCATCCGCAGGTACCTGCACCGTCTTCAGGCAGGTGTGCTGGGCAGAAGGTGCAGGATCCGTGGGGGCTGACGTCACTCAGAACTAGAGAAAGAAAGATGGACCTAGTACTGGGAGTGTCGTGAGAGATGCGTAAAAGGAACTTCTGAGCTCGCGCTGCCGAATCCTCATCTCGGGAGAGAGTTGGAGGAGGGTTTGCCTGAGGATGGAGGCCTGCAGGGTGAGCAGGCCAGGCAGGTGGGGAGGAGGGAGAGCGTCTGTGAAGGTGGGTGGGAAGCGGAGGGAAGGGGGAGGGGAGGGAGGGGGTTAAGAGCTCCAGGCCGTGAGTGGACCGGCTGACCCATGTATGCCTGGCAGGCAGGCCGTGTTAAGGACATTGGACTTTTCTTGAAAGAAACAGGAGCTGTTGACAAGAAGTGATAATACTTGCATTTTTAAAGGAATCGGGGCTGCCGATCTAAACACAGTCGGGGTGACATACGAGGGGCCCTTGCAGCTGTCCAGTGAGGGTGGAGACAGAGGCGAAAGGAGAGGACAGAGAGTCCGTGTGGGAGGGAGCTGGAGCGGCCAGGACGCGTGCGGAGGTGCCGGCGCTGCTGCCGGGGAAATGAACAGGCTGCCCTACACTCCACCCTGACTTGTGGGCCTGCAAAGATCACCGTGTCTGAAGGCCAGTGCATCTGACTGGGGCATGGAGTCACTTCCTGCACAGTTGCTTTTCATAAACATGGTTACACGTCGTGTCAGTGAATTTAAGAAATAAAAACACAATAAAATTGTGTTTTCAGGTTCTGATACATCCTGAGTAGAAATGTACTCACTGCAACTATAATTATAACAATTCTGACAGATTATACTTAGTTTAGAGCACTGCAACTTGAAAGTCCTTTAATTATAACAACACATGTTTAAAGTAAGTCTTCTATGATCATAGAATCCTTTAGATTCCTGTTTATGAGATTAGGTAACACTTGGTTCTGGTCACTTTGTTTTTCGCTGTAAGTATATTTTTAAAACTCAGTTCTATTAGTTACAGATAGACATGTGCCTTATAACTCACGAAAGGAAGAAAAGATACACGTTTCCAGTTTCTTATCGTTAGAGACTGATAATACAAGGGATTCCTGCCATAATCAAAGCACATCCAAGCCGTTGGTCAAGCATTGTGCCTTTTGGTGTACTTTCTCTCCACCTCCTCCACGGAAGTTAAGAGCATGCCGACCTGGTCTGCAGCCTCCGTGTGTCGTGGGCTGGGGCGTCAGGAAGAGGCTGAGAGGCATGCAGAAGCCTTAGACCAGCCCCGAGCCCCGCGGCCTCCCAGCCGGCCCGGGGGCGGCCCGCGCTGCAGGTTGCAGGGGAGCAGGGAACGTGGGCAGCATCCCAGGGCCTCACCGCCCGGGGGCCTCTGTCGTGTACACGCTCGGCGTAGTACGTGGATTCAGGTGCACAGCCAGCACTTAAATAGAGGAAGAGGGAACCCACAGTTCTCATAGGGGTGTCGACCCGGCTTCCCTCCTGGAGCTCCTGTCTGTGGCTCGGCTGTGTGTCCTCCAGAGGGAGCCCTGGCGCCCCCAGCCGGCCCCGGAGAGGGTGGAGAATGCCTGCGTGGGCTTCCTGTCCACTAAGAATTCGGGAGACCCGTGGCCCAGCGGCCAGGCCAGTGTGTGGGGATGGCCGGCCTGCCTCCCCCTGGAAGCGGCTGGAGATGCTGGGGCCCTGGTAGGAGTATCCTGGCTGGATGGTGACTAATGGGGGAATGCTGAGCGGGTCACCGTGAGGACACGCGGGAACTTCTCAGGCAGCAGGTCCCTGTGCCGTAATTGTTGGATGCCGTCCCTCCGTGGGGTTCAGTGTGCGGAGTGTGGTACCCCCGCCCCACGTGTGTGCTCACCTGGTGAGGGCTGTGCATGCGCCGTGTTCACTGCGCTTACGGACATCGGAGGCGTGTCCGGGGCGACCTCTGACTGCATGTGACTTCCCTTTCTGTGCTGACTCCTCCGAATGTAACTGCTGCCTCAGAAGTGACGTCCTTACAAACCCCAACGACCTCTTTGCTGGGGCGTTCTCGAAGCCGGCCCTCTTGCTCCAAATTAAGCCTCTCGCCTGCTTATGAGAGAAAACACAGAATCTATTCCTTCATTCGAGGCCATTTTCCCTGGCCCTTTTCTTTTCAAACGATGGATTACATTTAAAGTTCCCTGTGTCATTGCTAAGAGGGGGACATGGTGACGGGCAGGAGGCGAGTGGTGTTGGTTCACAGGCTCCCGCCCGGTCACAGAGGCACAGGCTGTGTGGGCGCCGTCCCCACTCTCTCCCTTCCCTGAGTGACCCTGCACAAGGCCCTCGCCTTCCCTAGGCCTTGACCTCCACTGAAACACCAGCAGGTGGGCCCGGATAACCCTAAGGCCGCCTCCATCTCGAATATGTTGCGTTTAAAACAAGCATTTGTTGAGCACTTGTTGTATGCACACATGGCGTTGTATTGGGGGGTGGGGGGGAGTCCACGAGCCTGCCCTGGAGAAGTTAGAAATTCTGTCTCAGGGTTGGATGATGGGGGGAGCCCCTGGGTGGGGAGCCAGGGGGGAGCTCACGCACTGGCCTCCCAGGCGGTCACCCTCGTTCCCCCTGCCGCTCAGGTTTACAGTAGCCGCACCCCTGACACAGGGCCCGTTCGTCCCTGTCTATCTTCTAGGGCAGCAGACTTCTCCAAAGGGCTCGATTGTGAAGTCTGTCTCGGAGATGCTGCCCTGCAGTTGCAGCAGGAGTGGGCCTAGTCACTATGTAAATCATGGGGCGTGGCTGTGCTCTGATAAAACTTTATTTATAAAGACAGTTTGCCCACCGAGTTCTAGAATTGTTTCCAAGGTTAACACCCTGTTTTAAACTCTAGAAATGGTTGCCTCCGTAGTGGGGTCTGTGGACCTGGCTGGACACGGACCCAGCTCAGCATCGATACCACCTTCAATTTCTCGCCTGCGACCTGGCTGAGACCCCGTGATGACGGGGCTTGTTTTACAGGAAGCGCATTGAGAGCTCTCCCCGGGAGTCCCGCTGACTGCCAGGGAGTCCCGGGCCCCAGAGCCGGGCTGACGCTGGCCACCCCTGCTTCCGGGACAAACTCCTGTGCAAACAGAGGCTCTTTGATGGAGGTTGGCCCAGCAAAGCCAGCTTTGCCCATTTTTGGGGACATCCACAGGCCCTCGCCTTATTCACCCCTGAGCCTGTTCAGAATGTGCTCGGAGGAAGGAATTCCGTCTGGCTGCCATGTCCCAGGGTTTGTTGGCAGAGGGCTCTGAGGGGCTGCCCAGGGCAACAGGGCAAGTCGGGAGTTGCCTTCCCGGAAACCCTCCTCGCAGGAATGAGCCAGGATCCCTGGAACTTGGAAGTGGCTGGCCCAGAACAGCAGCCACCTTACGTCCTTTCTGGGTGTAGCTAAGTAACTAAAGTCTCAGACGAGTGTGGTTCCCCCCCAGCACCCCAGGGAAGGGGGCGGTCGCCCTGGGAGCTGTTTCAGCAGCCGCTGGCCCTGTCGTTCGCAGGGAGGGGCGACATCCAGCCGCAGTTGGACAGCGCGCTCCAGGATGTCAACGACAAGTACCTCCTGTTGGAGGAGACCGAGAAGCAGGCGGTCCGCAAGGCGCTGATCGAAGAGCGCGGCCGGTTCTGCACCTTCATCTCGATGCTGCGGCCAGTGATCGTAAGTTAGTGGGAAGTTCCAGGAGGCCCAGAGTGCCATTGGGAGGAGACTCGCTCCTTTTTATCTAGCTGCCATGCTGGAGTCATGGGGCACCTGCTGTGCGTAGGGAATCAGGATAGGAGAGACCAGGACTTCTGTGCACGTTGCTGCTGGCCGCACAGCCCACAGCTCTTCTGTTCTTAGCACCAGTTGTTGCGCTTACCTTTTCTCCCCGAGTCAAGAAAGCCTGGCAGAGTGGTTCTCAAAGTGTGTTCACCAGGCCAGCAGCGTCACCTGGGAACTGGTTTGAAATGCACATCCTCAAGCCCAGCTCTGGGAGTGGGGACCCAGTCCCCTGTGCTTTAAACAAGCTCCCAAGGGGTTGGGTGGCCCACTGGCCAAGCTGCATACCAAGGAGTGGCCGTGAGATGAATATGGGAAGAGCCTCAACAAGTCAAATAGGCTTGTTTTTTCTTTTTATAAAATATATTTTTATTGATAAGAGAGAAAGAGGAAGGGAGAGGGAGAGAGAAACATTGATGGGAGCAGCATCAATCAGCTGCTTCCTATGCACCCCCTCCTGGGGATTGAGCCCACAACCCGGGCATGTACCCCGACTGGGAATCGAACAGGTGACCTTTGGGTGCATGGGATAATGCCCAACCCACTGGGAAACACTGGCCAGGGCAACGTAGGCCCATTTTAAATAAATTGGAGGGCCGGCTGCCATCCAGCAGCCTGCAGCCCAGACCCTGCGAGGCGGACTGCGGCTTCGCTTTGGCCTGGTGCACCCCTGTCCGCGGCATGCAGGCCACTTTGACGATGGCGGATCTCCTCTTCCCAGAAGAAAGGCTGGTAGTGCCTTCAGCAAATGTCCCAGTCCTAGGGGGCCTTTCCTGAAAAGTCGAAAGGGTCAGCCAGTGACCCTAATAAAGGCGGTCGGGCCGGGACGATGAAGTGAGCCGCCCCCCCCCCCCCCCCCCCCCCCCAGGATATCTGCCCGGCAGGAGGAAGAAATCTCCATGCTGGGGGAGATAACGCACCTGCAGACCATCTCCGAAGACCTGAAGAGCCTGACCATGGACCCCCACAAGCTGCCCTCCTCCAGTGAGCAGGTAGGCATGCTGCCAGGCGCTCGGGGAGCAACCCGGAGAGAGGCGCTTCTAGGTCCTGAGGGCCCCGGGGGCAGGATCCCACCACATCACATTCACGCTTCACAGTGAGGTGCACAGTGCCCATCCCCGCCAGCCGTGCAGAGCCCTGTGTGTGCTCGGGGACGGGGCCTCCTCGGCTCATCGTCCCAGGGTCCCCTCTTACAGAGGACACTCGCGCTGGGAACAGTCCCTGAGCCACGCTCACCCAGCTCGTTGGTGGCAGGACTGAGATTTGAACCAAGCAGTCAGTTTCCAGAGCCTGTGCTCATTAAAAAACATATTTCTATTGATTTCAGAGAGGAAGGGAGAGGGAGGGAGAGAAACATCAATGAGAGCGAGAATCATTGATCGGCTGCCTCCTGCACGCCCCACACTGGGGCTCGAGCCCACAACCCAGGCACGTGCCCTGACTGGGAATCGAACCCTGACCTCCTGGTTCACAGGTCAACCCTCAGTCACCGAGCCACGCCGATGGGCCAGAGCCTGTGCTCTTAGCCTCTGTGTCCATCTACCCTCTAGAAATACACTCCTGACATGGGTGTATCTTGGCCGTCATTTGAACCATTCTAATGAGGGTCTCTCTTATGAGAAAGATGACTATTTTTGGTGCTCATTAACTGGTTCATGTGACATTCGCACTGTATCAAGTGGGAAGAGACATATCTGGGAAACTTCTGATGAATCACATCGTGGCTTTTGACCTTTGCATCAAATTCTTGTCGCCCCTTTGGAGAGCCAGCTCAGAAGGCAAATTGGAGAGCTTTTATTTTCCATTCTATGAAATTTCCCTTATGAGACCTCAGCATGCATTCTCTCTCAGTAAATAGACGTTTATAGAGCACCTCCTGTATGAACAAAAGGAGACCTTACACTCAAGTAGCTATCAAGTTGGGGAGACAGACGTAGAAGTAACTGTGAAAGAATTGGTTTGCTCTTGATTCTGTCACGTTTATAATAGCGAATCCTGGGCCAATAGGGCACAAGTGACCTCTGACGCTCTAATGGCGAAAATGCAAGACCAACACATCCTGAAACCCTATGGTCTTGGTGGTGCTTTAGGACGAAAGCCCTGCCAGTTCTAGCCGTGGGTGTAAACGGCTCTTGTACAGTGTTGATCTGTCACCGTACATCTCCCTCCCTCTCTTTTTTACTGATATTTCAGCCCCCCATCATTCATTACATTTTTGCTTGTCTCAGAAAAAGGATTATGACATTAATGGATTAGTAGCGTATAATCCCCACCCCTCGATGGTGGCAGCATTTGGATGTTACGGTTTTAAGATGTGACGGATAAGGTTTCCCTTCTCCGAACCTCGCTTACCCGCCTGGCTCTGTCCCCGTAGGTGATCTTGGACCTGAAAGGCTCTGACTACAGTTGGTCGTACCAGACGCCGCCCTCGTCCCCCAGCACCACCATGTCCCGCAAGTCAAGTGTCTGCAGGTAAGAGAAGCCAGGTTCCGCCCTGCTCTGAGGACAGTTCTTCTTCTTTTTCTTATTCTTTTAAATATTTTTTAAAAATACACTTTTATTGACTTCAGAGAGGAAGGGAGAAGGAGAGAGAATCATTGATTGGCTGCCTCCTGCATGTCCCACACTGGGGACTGAGCCCACAACCCGGGCATGTGCCCTGACCAGGAATCTAACTGTGACTTCCTGGTTCAAAGACTGATGCTCAACCACTGAGCTACGCCGGCTGGTTTACTGTGTTAGTTTCCGGAGACAAGGAGACAACCGTGACACACTGATGTCCAGGATGAGCCGCTGGAGGGCGTTGCATGGCTTCCCCGTCAGCCCCCCATCCCCCCGCCTGGCCGATGGGAGTGGAAAGCCAGCCTCATGAGCATTACTCCCAGCAGCCTTCTCCCAGCATGCCCCAGTGTATCTGTCAGGACTGTCGCACCAAGTAATCGTAGTGTGGAGCAGTCGCGGTGCCTGACCGCCTTCTTAGCGTCACAGTTGGACAGGAAACTTTCAGGGTTCGGAGCAGGAACCACACTTTCGAATCCCAGGCTGGGCTGCTCATTTCATCCCTTCAGCTGCTTCTAGGGCTGCCCTGTGGGTGTCAGCTCTGCTTGCTCGGACCAGGGACTGTTCAGCATTCTGGTTTTCATGCTCTGAGTTGGTGCACAGACGGCAGAGCACTTTTCTTACGACTGGAAAGGGAATTCGGACAGAACACCCAGAGGGCATGTGTGATTTCTCGACATCCTGTTTACTGTTTATTCTCAGAAGCAAACGGCTTAGTGTGGATTGTCTTCAGTCGCTGAAAGCTGCCTGCGTCTTGCCAGAGGGACTGTTAACAACAGGCCCACAGATATTTTAACAGAGAGACGCCCATGATCCGGGTAGAGCCATTCGTTAAAGCACCAGCTTTGTTAATGCAGCACTGACACACACACTGAGGATAAGATCACCCTGAGATGCCCGTTGGCGCCTGCACCGCCAGAGCAGCGTCGGCTGGATGACCTTGGTCTCGCGGGCCCAGGCGGCCCAGCCAAGGGTCACACTCGCACATTCCATCCACGTCACACTGACGCCTTCCTGGTGTAGCTATGGGGCCCTGGTTTCTGCAGATAAGATCAGCCTCGCCTCTCCTGCCGCGGGCACCGGGTCCCCTAGCTCTGCTGGTCGAGGACCTGGCAGAATTGGGCAGGACCTGGCTTTGCAGAATCACAGGCCTCCATGCCCAGATGCCTCGTCACACCGTCGTCTATCAGACCCGTCTCGGCAGCTCGCTTTTCCCGTGGCTCACGTGAACAAGGACTTGTTTACGAGCCAATGAAATGGCGCTTTGGAAACACACCTTACGGCTTGTGCTCCTGCTCCGAGGCAGAGCCTCGGAGGCGGTCAGGCACCGAAACTGTTCCACACTACGATTACTTGGTGCGACAGTCCTGACAGATACATTATGTTGACATTATGACATTATATTGCCCCCCCTTCCCTGCCCCCCCTCTCGTTTCCTGGCCCCTCCTCTCACCCCCCGCCCCTCTGCTTGGCCCCGCAGCAGCCTGAACAGCGTGAACAGCAGCGACTCGCGCTCCAGCGGCTCGCACTCGCACTCGCCCAGCTCCCACTACCGCTGCCGCAGCTCCAACCTGGCCCAGCAGGCGCCCGTGCGGCTGTCCAGCGTGTCCTCGCACGACTCGGGCTTCATATCCCAGGACGCCTTCCAGTCCAAGTCACCGTCCCCCATGCCACCCGAGGCCCCCACCCAGGTAAGGGTGCCCTCAGCTCTGGGAGCAGCCGCCACACCTGGCGCCCAGACCACCATCGATGGCCAGAGCCCTTGGCTTGGACAGGCCTCTGTCTGTAGACATGAGAAAACGGGTTTAACGTTTCATCTTTACATGTGTTGTTCCCCCAAAGGGAGGGAGACTAGAAGGTGGGCTGGCAGCCGATGTTCAAGGTGGGGCAGTTGAGTCACACTTTGGTTTGGGGAGTTCCCACACCTGAGCGCATAGACTTCAGAGAGGGCTGGCTCCCCCCCGCATCCCTGTGAGGGCCCGCTTAGCGTGGTGCTGTAGCTGACGGGCATTGCACAGTGGGGCCGCCCCCCCCCCCATCTCTGTTCTCTGAGACTCTGCCGTGGGGCAGTGCCCGGAACCCTGTCACTCTTGGGCTCCGTTTACCGGTTTATGTTGAGAAGGAGAATGGCTCAGCGCAGCCCTCGCAGCACAGCCTGTTGGCACTTTGCTTCTGGGAGAAGGGAGGTGTCAGATCTCTCCCACCTCAGCGGGCTACGCAGGCCAGCCCCAGCCCAGCCAGGGGTCCCGCCGGAGCAGCGGGCAGGAGCTGGGCAGACATCGCCACACCCACCTGCCCCCCCCCTCCTCCTGGTGCCCGTGTCTGGCCTCACCCTTAGTAAGCAGCACGACACCAGGAGTGGGAGGGCTCAGTGCCCACCGCACCATCGGCCGGGCATGGTGGGTTCGGCCCGTCCTGTCCATTTTGAGCTGACCCATACGCAGCCTTTGGTCCAAGACCCTGTGGACTCAGGACATCACATGCTTGTCTTGTTTACCCAAGTTCCCGTTTGCCCGACAGTCACTGGCCATCTCGGCGTGCCAGGCCGCCCTGCACGGGTTTGCTGCGTAGTCCTTCCAGCAACCACGTAGGCTGCTATGACCCCTGTTTTGTGGAAACGGAGGCTCGGGGCTGTGGGTGACCCGCCCGATCGCAGTTACTGACCTGCAGGTTGCGGACCTGAGACCTGGGAAAAGGCTTCTATCGCCTGCTCCACCTCAGCCTTGGGGCGCCCCCGGGAGGGTGCGTGGGGGGCCCTTGGTGAGGAGGAAGCCGCTGCGGTGTGTGGGGACTGCCTGCCTGTCTGACATGGTGACCCCAGCCCCTGGCTCCTCGCTCCCTGGGCAGGTAGTTTCCCGCTGTCCCAGGAGACCCGGCCTGTCTTCCTGGGAGAGAGACTCGGTTTCAAACAAACCGGCTCCGGGCCGAGAGCTGCGGCTCCAAGTTCTCGTGTGCTTGTCAAACTGGGTGGGGCCTGGTCGAGAAGGTGTCCCCGGCCGTCCACCACGTGTCACCCACGCAGAGCTGAACGACGGGAAGGAAAGCAGGAGTTCGCAATTCCTCCAAGGCTCTTCGCTGTGCCGCTTAATTCTTTGTGTTTTTAATCAACTGACAAACTAACCCAGCCTTGCGCACTGACACTCGTTTCTAAAGGAAGGGGGGCGGGTGCTGCAGCCTCCCTGTCTGAGACCGCGTGTGGGGCGCAGCGGCGCTCGGGGAGGCAGAGGTGGCGTGTGGGACTCACTTAAACCTCAGAGCTGGTGCCCGAGGTATGGGGGCCGGCAGCTTTAGGGCCTTTCCTCAGGGTGCTGCAGAATTTACTAGAAAAATCTATTTTTCAAAAAAGGCTCTGCTGCTACTTACCATTATAAGGTAGCGGGGGAATAAAGGAAATGGCACAGATCACAGGCCAGAGGCTGCAGTGTCCTGAGGGCAGTAATACTGTCTTCCTTGGGGGAGGGAGGAGCACAGCTCAGCCCCCCACCCCACCCCGGCCCGGCAGACACAAATGTTCAGAGTTCTCGCACTTTCCTCAGCTCTGCTCTTTAAGTGTGCCTTCACCCGTGCGCCTAGGAGTGGGCCCGTGCTTGTGGTGAGGGTCTGGTCCTAGGGCCGCTGAGGCTATCAAAGCAAGAGGTTCTTTAGAAAAAATGAGAAATCAAAAGCAGCATGACCTGCAGCCCTGGGGTTCGCTGGCCTTGTCTAAGCCGCACACGCTGGAGTCAGAGGAGCCAAGATAGACAGTCCTGGTGCGTCCCCATGGTGACTGACTCTCTACACCTGGCTAAGCATTGTGCATAGACACACAGGTATAAACCCTCGCTTTGTCTCATCTGTTAGATATTACTGATCCCCATTCTAAGGAAGAAAACAGGTTTAGAAAGATTAAGCCCATGATTCCTTGACTGACAAGTGGCAGAAATGTCACTCAAATCCAAACCTTCAGACTCCGGTCCCGACTGCTCACCCGAAATGGAGCTCAGGGAGTGGCTTCGGCTGCACGGAGCCCCCTGCACGTCGGGGTGTCTCCTGGGCCCCTTGCCTTTGCAGGAGGGGAACGCTACTGCTCTGTCCCTGTCAGGAACCTTTCCTTGGCCGGTGGGAGGGGTGACAGAAACACGAGTCCTGCCTCCTAGACAGTGAATACAGGAGCACTTCTGTGAGAGTAGTAGACCCCAGTGGGGCTGGGCTCGCTGGCTTATTTATTTGTGTTTGTATTGATTTCCTTTAACCCTTTGAGTGCCAACCAATATCCTAGGAACTATGCTTAAATTGCCAAGGCATTTTGAGTTTTTTTTCCCACATAAAGAGTGAACTACTAGCATCTAATAGTGACACTGCAGGAGGAGCGCGATAGCGTTCCCAGAACTTTTGGCGAAAGACAGGAGGAGCGCGATTGTGCTCCCCAGAGGGGGGGAGAGAGAGAGAAAAACATCAATAATGAGAATCATCGATTGGCTGCCTCCTGCACGCCCCCTACTGGGGATCAAGCCTGAAACCCAGGCATATGTGCCCTGACAGGAAATCAAACCATGACCTCCTGGTTCATAGTTCAACAATAAACCACTGAGGCACCCTGGCGGGGCAGGGCGGGGCTTATTTAAGCAAATGGCATGAGCCAGAGATGGCAGCTAACAATGAAAAACCTAAAGCAGATGCCTGGATGGGCTCAGTGCATTCCCAGGGGACCCAGTGCACACGGAGGAGATGGTCGTTGTCCCTCGTCCATTCAGCGATTCGAGCACCTGCCGTGTACCAGTTCAGGACTAGACACGCAAGTCGGGGTCCTGGGCGCTTACAGTCTGCGGTCCGGACCTTGCTGGGTCTCACGCTTCTCAAGGGCTCGACGGCCTGTGGGTGCAGCCGGGGAAAGAATAACCCTAACGCTCTGCTCTCTCATCCTTCCTTTCCTGTGTGTATGTGTCTGTCTCTCTCTCTGCGTGCTTTTCCCCACCCCCATCTGTTTTATTTTTACTCACCGTTACTTTTTGGTGGCGTGTGGCCTGGATTCTGTGGGTCCCCTCGTGTGGTCCCTCCCCGGCTGCAGAACTCGTCCAGCTCGGCCTCCTCGGAAGCCTCCGAAACCTGCCAGTCAGTCAGCGAGTGCAGCTCGCCCACCTCGGTCAGCTCAGGCTCCACCATGGGCGCCTGGGCCTCCACAGAGAAGGTGACCGACCGGGGTCCGCCACCACGGCCCCCCCCTCCACCCCCCCGCCCGCTGCTCATGCCACAGGCGCAGGAACCTGGACACTCAGAATCGACACCGAGAGCTTGGGGACGGGATGAGGCTGAGGGCTTTCTCCTGAGGGTGTCTGGCTCCTAAACAAGGACCGTGCGGCCGTCCCGAGGGCGAGTCGGGCTATGGGGAACGCGGAGGTGTGAAGGCTTCGTCCCAGAGCGTGTGTGCTCATCCCCCCTCCCCAGCATCCCCCCGCCTGTCCGACCTCCCGGCCGCCTCCCCGCTGGGCATGACATTTCACCGCGTCAGAGGCCGTGTGCTTTCCTGCCTTTTAGTTCGCAAACCACCCCCTACTCACCCCGACTTGGCATCTGCTTCCGAACAGTGTGATGATGTCAGAAACCTACAACGGACAGGTTCAGTGGAAGACACTTTAGGGTTTGTAAGTTTGCCAGATGAGATGAGCACTAGGAGGGGATGTTGTGTGAGTTAAATACTCAGAAACCATTGAGAGCGCCACAGAAGGACACGGTCAGTTCCCCACTGTCCTCAGATAGCCGGGCAGTATTTCCTCCACCGAACACGGCTCGGTGTCGAGGAAACGGACGTGCGCTCTGCACCCGCTCCTCCCTGCGTCCTGGCTCACCATGAGCGCCAGGCCCGTGCTTGTCAATAGAAGTCCAGGGCTTCCTCTCATTGAATGTCAATGCCATCTTGTATCTCCACACTCATCCTGTTATATTAATTTTTTTCCTCCCCCCCCTTTTTTTGTTTCGTTTTCAGTTGTCTAACGGGTTTACTCACTATAGTTTATCAAGTGAGTCCCATGTGGGGCCCGTGGGGGCAAGCCTTTTCCCTCATTGCCCGCCTGCCTCCCGCCTGCTCCCTCGGGTCACCTCTGTCCACCTTCCAGACTACAATCATTATTACACCATTGGGCCCGGCATGTTCCCGTCATCTCAGATCCCTAGCTGGAAGGTTTGTGTCTCTCCTCCCTCCTCCCCTCTCTCCCCCCTCCTTTCCTCTCTCATGGCTTCTGTGCTCACCTCCTCCTGTCCCCCCAACCTCACCCTGATTACCCCTCTCCCCCTTCCTTTCACACTCTGCCTTCTTCCCCATAACACCTCTCCCCAAGGCCATTCCCACCGGGAGAGCCAGAGACGGCAGGCAGCTTGGAGTTAGACAAATCCACCAGGAGCTGAGATTGAAGAGGCTCCTGTTACTAAACATGAGTTAACCCCATTGGGTAGTAGACACAGATGTGACCTGCAGAGGCATCAGTTCCAAGTCCCAAGTCCCAGTTTGGCCTCCGGGGCCGCCTAAGAGCCCGTTATTGGCCGGGAGGGTCCCCCACGGCCACGTTCCCCGAGGCCCTTACTGGACATGGTAATAACATCGTCAAAGTGCACACGGACTTGATTCTTAGTCTCCACTGTTTATATTAAAACGTGTGCTTCAGTGTAAAAGCAAAAGTGCAGCGGATGCCCCAGGGTATTCTGCTTTATTTTGAGAAGAGGTCCCTAATTTTGAGCAGGTCTTCACTTCACCCCTCACACGTGGTGTGGACCCCTCAGACTCCTAACCTCCCAGTTGGCCCCCGGGGGCCTTCCTTCCCCTGTGAGGGCCGCAGGACACATCCTGAAGTGCCTTTTGGGGCCCAGCTTTCCTAGTGGAGGGTCAGCCTTCGGGGGAGTGGCTGCAGTTCCCTCAGCGCCCCCTGGTGGCCACTCCCCTCAAGCGCAGTCATTGAGGACTGGACTGGTCCCTGGCTGGTGCCTTCAGACACCTAGACAGCTGGTAGCTGTAGTGGAGTCTCCCTCAGGCCACTTGTCCGGTTGTTGAGGATTTTTCATCTTTGAGCAGATGTGAGGAAACGGGAGGTGACCAGGGGGTCCCCGAAGGGTGTTCCACTCCCTTTAGAGCCAGGGGAGGGAATAGAAGGGGCCTGCTGACCTGTCCCAGTCTGAGCTTCCCCCAAGGGGACCAGATGCCTTCTGTGGGCAGCTGTCTGGAAGGTCCGCAGCCCTCACCCGGCAGCGAGGCCCTGGTACCTGACCACACTGTTCTGCGTAGGACTGGGCCAAGCCAGGGCCTTATGACCAGCCTCTGGTGAACACCCTACAGCGCCGCAAAGAGAAGCGGGAGCAGGACCCCAGCGGAGGAGGACCCGCCGCCGCGGGTGGCCCGTCTGCAGCTGCCGAGGAGGCTCAGAGGCCACGGAGCATGACCGTATCCGCTGCCACCAGGGTGAGGCTTTTGTTCTCTATCGCTGGGTGGGCCCCTCTAGACCGGGCTGGTGGCCGGATGCTGACCAGCATTGGGGACCTTGCAGCTGAGGGAGCTGAGCCGCTCCCCCCTCCCTGCTCTCCAGTTTTCATGAGGCTCCCAGGGAAAAGCCTGTGTGGGAATCAGACTTGTCGAAATCTCTAGAGCCTGGGTAGGGCCCAAGCAAGTTCCTGTCCCTGGGCCCACAGACAGGTGGTGTTCCCAGGAGCAGACGAGGACTGACACCTGGTCCCCACTCAGAGGGGGTACGGAAGGGCCCTGGGGACAGCAGGCAGGGGCGTCACGGCCCTGTGGCTTGTCTGTCCCTCCTCCACCCTGCAGCCTGGCGAGGAGATGGAGGCATGTGAGGAACTGGCTCTGGCCCTGTCGCGGGGCCTCCAGCTGGACACCCAGAGGAGCAGCCGGGACTCGCTGCAGTGCTCCAGTGGCTACAGCACCCAGACCACCACCCCGTGCTGCTCAGAGGACACCATTCCCTCCCAAGGTACCAGGCAGCTGGGCTTCCCGGGCAGGACCCGTGAGGAAAAGGGAGGTCCTCCCCGGGCGGACGCGGAGGGCGGGAGTCCTGCGAACCACCTTCATCTTGGAAGGGCCTGGGAGAGCTGGCCTGCCTGGCCGGGCCACTGCCACAGGGACTGGCTGTTGCAGCTCGTTTTCACCTGCAGGGTGCAGGGTAGTTCTCAATGGGAACTCAGAGGACGCTGTTAGGAGAACATCATTTGTGTTTCAGCACTTCATTTTCCCATTTAATGTTCTCAGCCGCTTATATAATACGTCTTTTTACCCCATTTTACATACATGGAAACTGAGCCTGCGTAACTTCCCTAAATTCATGCAATATGCAGCAGAGCTAGAGTTTGAACCTAAGGTCTATGAGAGTCTGAAGCCCAAACTCTGAACCTGTTCCAGCCAAATCCTCTCTCCACCATGCCTCCCTCGCCCCATCCCTACGACACTCCCAAGCCAACAGCATAGCAGTCTGACAGCTGGAATGGGTCTGTGATAGCTGACCCTGTTTGCAGTCCATCAAAGGGATTTTGCTGCCCAAGGGACATTTGCAACGTCTGGTGACATTTTTTGGCTGTCACTACTGGAGGGGGTGCTAGCCGGCTGGGGTGCTGTAAATACCCTGTAGTACACAGCACCCCTGAGTTCATATGGTCCACAATGGCAAGTGTTGCCATTCAGAAATCTGTGAGCTTCCTGTCCCTTCTGATACCATTTTTTAGGAAATGGAACTTATTGATGGAACCCATTTGTACCTGTCTTCAGGGGTTCATTGCCAGTACTTCCATCTCCTTCATAGGGCTCACCTAAGGAGTTAGTTGAGGGAGATAGCAGGGTCTGAGGTAGTCTGTTTGGGGCTGTGGCTCACGTTGAGATCTGGACTGGAGGGCGTGGGGAATTTCTCTCCACCGCCTCATTCCTTAGAGATGCTCGGGGAGCTTTGCCTCAGCCTGGCCGTTTTCCATGTCGCCTCTCCACCATCTGGGAGTGCGTGCCTTCCACGCCAGCACTGTGCTAGGCGCCCAGGGTTACATCAGGGAACAGCAGGAAGGTCCTGCCAAGGACTGCTCACTCGCCCAGTTCCTAAGGATGACAGAAGCCTGGGGAGGCGTGGGTGAGACCCTGGCTAAGCACCTTGCCTCTTCTGCCTTTTGTTCTCCCAACACAGAAGAATCAGAAAGCAGAGCCGCTGCCTTGGAGGTTTCTAATCGAATCCTATCATCAGTTTCAGATTACGATTATTTCTCGGTAAGTGGTGACCAGGAGGCAGACCAGCAGCAGGAGTTTGACAAATCCTCCACCATCCCGAGGAACAGCGACATCAGCCAGTCCTACCGACGGATGTTCCAAGCCAAGCGCCCGGCCTCCACTGCTGGCCTCCCCACCACCCTCGGACCTGCCATGGTCACCCCAGGGGTTGCAACCATCCGACGGACCCCTTCCACCAAGCCCTCTGTCCGCCGGGGGACCATCGGAGCCGGTCCCATCCCCATCAAGACACCCGTGATCCCCGTGAAGACCCCAACCGTCCCAGACCTCCCTGGGGTGTTGCCAGCCCCTCCAGATGGGCCAGAGGAGCGAGGTGAGCACAGCCCGGAGTCGCCCTCTGTGGGTGAGGGCCCCCAGGGGGTCACCAGCATGCCGTCCTCACTGTGGAGCGGCCAAGCCTCCGTCAACCCTCCCCTTCCAGGCCCGAAGCCAAGTATCCCTGAGGAGCACAGACAGGCGATCCCAGAGAGCGAGGCCGAAGACCAGGAGAGGGATCCCTCCAGTGCCACTGCCTCCCCGGGCCGGGCTCCAGAGAGTGAGCCCGCAGACCTGAGCCCCAGGGATGCCCCCCAAGGAGAAGACATGCTGAATGCCATCCGAAGGGGCGTGAAACTGAAGAAGACCATGACAAATGACCGCTCGGCCCCTCGCTTCTCGTAGGCTCACGAGAAATGCTGCCAGTGGGGAATGACTGTTTAATTAATAAAACCTAATTTGTCTTATCCATTCCAATCTATAATCCAACAAAAGATTTTGTAGGCAACTCAGAATACAGCTCTTTTGAAAGTACTCGACACCTTTAGATAAGAATTAAAAGCAACATATGTAACTGACATAATCTTGATCTTTTAATTTGTAAATATCGACAACTTACTTTCTGCACATTTAAAATTAGTTTCCCTTTTGATTTTTCTGAAGGTGCCAAATTCCACTTAACTTTTTTATAAGTCTTTGTAAAATTTTAAATGCATAAGGGGGGGGAGGGCTCAGGGCAGGGGAACCACGAAGTAGTTAATTTCAGAAAAAAAGGGGTATCTTTTTCTTTTCTTTTTTTTTTCCTGCAAGCTTTTGTAGATGCATTGTAGAAGTCTGGCTTAGAAGCAAATTCAAGTTATTTTAATGTACAAACAAAAAGGTAAGAGGTAAACTCTTCATTTAAATACATGATGTTCTGAATGAGCAAAGCAGTAGCAAGAGTTGATGAGCACTATTCGGAGTGAAATGAATCTGGAGGGTAGACTGTTGGGATTGGGGGGAGGGCCATGGGAGGGGCACTGTCAACATAGCCGACCTGTCACATTTAAGAGTAGCCTCGTAGGTTGAATTTCTAGTAGCTTCATGGTTAATGCATCCGAATAAGCCATACTGGATTGCGGTGTTTGTTTCTGTAAGGTGTTTAAGGACTTCCTTTCTCCGATTCCTCTTGACTGCACACAGCACCCACCTCCAATCCTGTGCATGCTGCCACCACCGGGTAGACATAGAATTTATCCCCCACTTAGTTACTCGTCTGTTATACCCATTTTCATCGAATCCAGATGCATCCAAAAGGGTAAGGCAGTTTCAAAATGTGAAAACATTTAAACATGATAGCAGGGAATTCTTAGATAAAGCAAATGCCTTTTACTTAACTGTGCCCAGCAGGCTGGGTGCATTGAAAAGCCCAAATATTTTGAAAAAACTTGAGCGGATTTAACAAGAGTAACCAGCTTAGCGTCCAGCAACTTGCCAATGTGTTTACCAATCCGGGGGCTTGTTTTTCTTAATTGGCTTCATGCTAAACAATGAAGAGAGGAGGATTTATTTATTGTCACTCGGAATCTGACCACTAGACTGTCCCTCTTTTTGTATTCTAGATAATGTTTTTTGGAATGGATTTATGTCTTTTCTTCAAGTGAAAATTAAATTTGTTACAATGCCCATCCCCTAAAGCCAACAGGTAATGTTTTTTGGAATGGATTTATGTCTTTTCTTCTTTAAGTGAAAGTTAAATTTGTTACAATGCCCATCCCCTAAAGCCAACAGGGACTTGTAGATTTAGAGGGTTCATGTTTGGAGAATGTAAACATGAAAAAGCAAGCAATTCCTAGTAGCTGGGTCAGCTGACAGTGCCCCTTTGTGACCAGACCTGTCAAGGGATGATAGGGGCGTGGTGGGTCCCACACACCCTGCAGGTTCCTGTTGGCTCCTATCTTCAATTACATAATCTTATGCTTTAATACATAACTGCATTGGATGTGAGAGTAACGTACCTGTATAGTCATTAATTCTATATATTAACATTTAACACTGCTGTGATTGCTCAAGGACATTTTATGTTATGGCTTTAAAGCAAAGGCATGATTATTAGAAATTAAGCTTTTTTTTCTTTGAAAAACAAGCTCCTTTTACAGAATATAAGCAACAGTAGTGCCTATGGTTTAGCCCACCAATCTCGAGGACTAACAAGTAGCTGATGCATTGTGCATATGATGCTTGAGATGGTTTTTGCAAAAGCAGAAATCACTGCAAGGTAATTACAATAGGTAAGAGTGGTATTTTAAACCTTTGAAATAAATGGATGTAACTGTACCTCGGTACAGCTTTTCACTTGTTTAGTTTTTAAACGTTAGTATAATCTGAAGAAATTTAATATAAAATGTTGCCAAATTTACTGTAGAAAGAATGTGACAAAACACCTTGGGTAGTCCTGTTTGTGTTTTTGCATATTGTAAAAGCAGTGTCACAGCTACAAATAAAGAAATCGTTTCTAAAGGTAAATTATTGTGGTTTAGTTGCTAGTTTGTACTGAGAGTTGACCTCTCCCTGTGCAGTTTTTGTTCTAAACTTGTATAAATAACAATTGTGTAATGTGTTTCCCTTCTATCTTGTAACAATTGCTTCAGCCTACATTATAAATAAAGAACCACTAGAAAAAAAAAAAAGTCCTGTATTTCAACTCTTATTAAAATTCACTTGGTCTTCGCTAAATGTTAGAAGATGCACTGAGACTCATACTTAGCTTACTTAGAAAACTGACAGAACATTATTTTTGTGATGATTTTGATCCTTAAGAACAGTAGTTGCCTGAACTAATTATTTGAATGCAGTTCCAACGAGTTGTCAAGAACGAAAGGTAGCTGGGTTCAGTTGACCTTTTATTTTTGTGAATCCTCACCTAAGGATATTTTTTCCATTGCTTTTTCAGAGTGTGGAAGGAAGGGAGGGAGGGAGAGAGAGACAGAGACAGACACATCGCCTGGTTGCCTCCTGCATGTGCCCAACTGGAGGTAGGGGTAGGGGTTGGGGGATGGGGACAAACTCGAAACCTAGGTACCTGCTCTTGACTGGGGATCGAACCCTCGACCCTTCAGTGCACGGGCCCATGATCTAACCAGTGAGCACCATTGGCCATGGCTGGCTTTACCATTGAAAGAAACCTCTTCAAAGGGTTAGAGTTCTGCTGTACCCTTACCTTTGAGTCTGCAGGCAATCCAAGCTACAGTAGAGGAAGCAAAGCTGGAAAACTGCCTTCAAAGCAAGTGAGTTTCATCCCAAATTGGACCCTTTAACCCTACCCATCAAACTGCCACTCCTGAGACTCCAGGTTTATTTGCTGAATGTGTGCTTCTTAGAGAAAGGTGTTTAATCAAAACAAATTCCATCAGGAGAATCTTTAGAAAACCAAGACGGTAGCGTAAGTCCTTAACATTAGCATACCTTTTCTCAGCCTCCATTCCTTCCAGACACGAGTATTAATTAAGGCTTCAACTAGAGTCTCTTTGACTCAATCTTCAGAGTAAACCTTGTACCTGGTTCTGCTACAGTTGTCCCTTATTAAGAACATGTGCTCTCTATGTGACTTAATGGGGAAGAAAAGAACACATCTGACTGACGACACATCACATACGTTTCTTTCTATGCACAACTGCTATGGAACCTGTAAGACAGTGGCAGTCCCCTGGCACCCCGTTACTCCTCACACAGAAGAACACATCAGTCATACCTTTTATTTTTATTAGGGCAAGTGTGTATATTTTCTGTAACTTATTTCACTTGCAAGCAGGACTGGTGGTGTGTCTTCCTCTCTCTGTCTCTATGCGGGCCGCTCCCGGGGCCTGGTCACAATATGCCACCACAGTGGGGGCAAATCACCTTCCTTTCGGGCAGGGGGCAAAGCTTCAGTGATGGGACCACCAACTGGGGTTTCCGCCTGCAGCTGCTTAACCTGGAAGGGGTCAAGGAGGGACCAGTTAGAAAAGGAGCTGAACGGACGGTCCCGGCTGTACAGTTAGTGTCACCTTTGTTCCTGCTGTCACATCACATGCTAGCTGATCCTCACTACTGAAGTGTTGTTTGTTCATACCTGCATTATTTGATCCCACACTTGAACTCAGAAAAGATGTCCTCAAAGCTTTTCCCGTTCTTAAAACAGCAAAGTTGAGAAAAACTCTCCCGCCCACCTCATTCATTAACCCAAACCATGACAACTACTACTCCAATTCCCCTGGTTATGGTCTCCCCACCTACACTCTCCCCCAACAAAAATGGATTTTTGTGTCTCAGCTAAGTCTTCTCCAAAAGCACTAGTAAGAAATCTCAAAAAAAGAAATCTCAATTCATGTATATTAGGGATGTTAACTTTAAAGCCCCTCTCCTCCAACAGCAACCAGGACAAGAAGCAACACACAATCACATGAAAAATATGCCATTATGCCTGATATTGACCAACTACCCCAGTTCAGGGATCTCCAAGACGATCACGGCCCTGACAGAGGGGGAAGCCCAGAGACCCGCTTTCCAGATCAGTGACTTTATGAAGCTCCTCCAGAAAAATCCATCCTGGAATGTGGTTAACCTGAGCCTCCAGCACATGTGCTGTTTAACAATGTGGCAGAGACAACAGCAAGAGGAGGAAGGTTTGTGCGGGGGAGAGAGGGTTACAGTGATCACCTGCAGTGTGCACCTCCTGCTCTCCCTGAATCACCGCACCTCCAGTTCCCCAATGCAGAGACAGGCCTCCGTGCATGCTCGGGGTCCCACGCCTCTTCTCGAAACTCCCTCCACCTTTCCATCCCTCATCAGCATTAACAACTTCTCCCTCCTTCCAAATTACGCACCATCATTTCTCGTCTTAGAAAATAATCCCTTGGTCTCGTTACTATTCTCAGCAGAACTTCTCAAGAATCCTCTCTCCCTCCTGTCTTCTCTTCCTCACTCTGCTCACTACTGTCAGGTGACTAAACCCTCCAGAAAAGGCTCCGGTCACGCCCACTAATGCCCTTCCTGCAGCCAAACTCTGCACATTATTCCCAGTCCTCACTCTGTGAGAGGACGTGGCCTGGCCATTCCTGAAACACTTCCTCCGGGACCCGCGGCACACCCTCCGGGCTGTCCCTCCCTTGCCGGGTGCTCCTCGGTCTCCTTTTCCTGACCTCGACCAGTGGAGCTCCTGCCACTTTTATTTTTCTAGTCTCCCGTCAAGACTCATCTACCTCCCTGATGTTGAAAACAACTGTTAGCTCACAAGTGTCTTTCAAGCTCCTTTGACATCCAGATTCCCACATCCAGTCACCTTCTGACATCTGCACGTAATGTCTTAGGATTCTTAAATTTAACACACTTATAACTGAGCATTAGAATGCCCCGACACCCCACCTTTCCTATCTCAATAAACACCACCAGCAAACTCCAGATGTTAAAGCTTATAACCTGGAAACCATTCTTGATCCTCACTGTCCCTCACTCCCCCACATCCAATCTATCTCTATATCCCTCCAACTATCTCCTGAATCTACTTCCCTCCATATTCATTGCATGCACCTTAGTGCTGGCTGCCATAATCTTTTGAATAAACTGCAATAACCTCAAAGTGGTCTCTCCACTCGTCACCTTACCCTCTCCAATATATCTTTCACACTACAGCAAGATTAAGCTTTGAAAAATGTGAAGCAGACACGAAAAGGGTCCAAGGCACTGCTGGGGAGTAAGGTTCAGGGATAACAGGGCATAGCAGGAAGGAAAGGCAAAGGACTGAGGAGGAGGAGAAGGGGAAAAGCACAATTAGAGACCAGAAAACCCAGAAGGAAACTCAGTGTAACCAATTTGGAAGATGGGTGTAAGCGTCCCATGTAACTGAGAAATGTATATCTAAGAAGCAAGGGGCCAGAGTAACTCATAACTGGACTCCAGACCTCGTCAGTGGGACAAAACCTGAGCTCCTTCCAGGTGCTGACCCCGTGGGCTAAGCCACCCCGTAAAACGCAGGTAAGACTCACCTCTCGCTCCCAGCTCTCCCTCCGCAGTTTCTTCCATTGCTCTCTCTTGGCAAAGTAATCAGGATACATTGCCTTCTCAGAAGGATGCCAGTCATCTAAGCACCACTCAGGAACCTGTCAGGAGAGGAAATCATGGCGTCAGTACACAAGATACATTTACATTTACATGCCGCTGACAGGTCCTGCACAACAGACAAACTCCAGGTGCATTTTTATTCCACTGCAAGTGTCAGACGGTTTGACACCAAGCAAGCAATGAGCAGCAGAAGATAAGCAGGGAGAATGCCTTTGAGTAAAACAGCCTGGGGTTGAAAAACAGCATGGCCCGTTCAGAAAGAACTGGCATCACCCCTTCCCTACCTGTGCCTCCTAAACATCCAGTGGGTTTATGTTCTTTGGAAGTATTATCTAGAATTTCTCAGAAATTCTAAACACCAATCCAGACTGGTTCACCTTAAGGTCCAAAAATGGGTTATTTACCAAGTAATTTAGCATTCTGCTATGCCAAAAGGATACCACAAGCTGAATTTGGAAAGAAAAGTATTTTTTTAAAAAAATATATTTTATTGATTTTTTACAGAGAAGAAGGGAGAGGGATAGAGAGTTAAAAACATCGATGAGAGAGAAACATCGATCAGCTGCCTCCTGCACACCCCCTCCTGGGGATGTGCCTGCAACCAAGGTACATGCCCTTGACCGGAATCGAACCTGGGACCCTTCAGCCCGCAGGCTGACACTCTATCCACTGAGCCTAACCGGTTAGGGCAAGAAAAGTCTTAATGTCACCTGGAAGGAAATCTAGCTGCCCCGACAAGGGTAACTCTGGAACGGGAGGAGCCAGCCGCAGGCTGGCCGCACCCACCTTGTAACACTCGTATCTCTCGTAGGAGGTGCCCCCAGGAGAGTCGGGGAAGATGTATGGCTGAGGATGCTGGTTGTGCCAGAACTCTTCCTCCGCCTCCCTCAGCAGCCGGGTGGCCTTCACCATGTCCTTTTCATTCTTATGTTCGTCAAACCGAGCTCTCATCAAACAAGCGAAGTACCGGTATTTGTCCCTTAAACCAAAAGGATGTGGGAGGATTAGAAATGTTATCTCCTCGCCCAGACCTTTTCCAGTGTTTTGAGGTTTTCCCCAGAAGTTCTCCTCCTGGGTTGAGGTTTCCGGATTCTGATAAGGGAGTGGAGGCACATTTGGGTTGTCACCTCACCTTGTACTGCACCTGGGCCACGAAAATAATCTATGTCTCAAGACTATGCTCGAAGGCTAGTCTCGGAGGGAGGTGGGGGCAGTAAAGGGCTGGAGGAAGCTACAAGGAGGAAGCTCACGGGAAGCTGGGAGGATGAGATGCTTGGACTGGGGCACCTGAGCTGTAATCCTGGCCGGGCCACTTACCAGCTATAATACCTTGAGCAAGTTACTCTCTCTGTCTCTAGTTCCTCACCTGCAAAATAAGGCTAAATAGTCCCTAACTCTCAGCGTTGCTGTGAAGACCTAAGAAAGTAATGCACATAACAGTATGAAGAATGCACATATTAACATCAGGAAATAGGCCGTACAGACGGCTATTGTTCAGCGAGCGCTGGAAGCCTAACTGCAGCTTTAGGCACCGGGCAGCCTGTGACCCTCCCTGCCGAGTGCTGCGTTCTTAGCAGAAAGCCGAGGCCCGGGCCAGAGAGCAGCTCTCCCAGGTCTCGCAGCCCAGGGGCGACGATGCGGGGCCTCGAACCCGGGTCTGCGGGGCCGAGGGGACGCCTTCCCCCTCCGTCCCCTAAGTCCTTGAGACGTCGGCTCCCTGGGGACTCGCGGCCTCCGTCGGCTTCCCCGGAGTCACCCCCCGCGCGCCGGGCCCTCGCCCACCTGTGGACGCAGAAGGACTCCAGGTGGCGCAGCGCCCGCTTGTAAAGCCGCAGCACCTTCTGCTGGTGCGTCAGGTAGGCCGCCGGCGCCGAGAACGCCATGACGGCCGCTCACCTTCAGCGGCCGCGGAGGCTGCCGGGAAACGGAAGCCCGGCGGCTAGAGGGCGGGGAGGCCGGAAGGGCGGGGCGACCGCAGCCACTTCCGCTTCCGCCAAGGAGAGCCCGGCGCCGCGGTCATGAGTCGCTACAAGTTCGTGGGTAAGAAACTGATTTTCCCGGCCTTGGGCTCTTTGCCCCCGGGCGCCGCTCGCCGCGGCCACAGGCCCAGCATGAGCTCTGGCTTTTCTGAAGGTGCCAGGGCGCCTGAGGCCGATGGGCGCCGGTCCTGCCCGCTTCTCGGCGTAGGTGCTGCCTTCAAGGTGTGCTTGTTTGTGAAAGTTTTCGCGTGGCGCCGTTAGGATTTGTGTTCCTTATAACGTGTGTGTAATCAGTAAAAAGAAAAAAGGAAGCACAACTACTGAAAAACCAAAGAGGCGAGTCACTATAGTCTCCCCCTTCCCACGTGCACCTCCCGCCACTTCCCCGCTCCGTGGCTGCAGGAACCCGAGGGGTAAGAATATTTACTGCCCGGCACTTAGGAGACCCTGCGGGGCCCGGCGGGAGCGAGGATTGGGACTCCAGTGTCTTGCGGAGCTTAGTTTTCCTGTGTATAGAGGAGCTTCTTGGCTGGTTGCCTTGTGGATGTGTCTATTTCAGCGGTTCTCAACCTGTGGGTCGCTACCCCTTTGGGAGGTCGAACGACCCTTTCACAGGGGTCGCCTAAGACCATCTGAAAACATATATAATTACATATTGTTTTTGTGATTAATCACTATGCTTTAATTATGTTCAATTGGTAACAATGAAAATACATCCTGCATATCAGATATTTACATTACGATTCATAACAGTAGCAAAATTACAGTTATAAAGTAGCAACGAAAATAATTTTATGGTTGGGGGTCACCACAACATGAGGAACTGTATTAAAGGGTCGCGGCATTAGGGAGGTTGAGAACCACTGGTCTCTTTGGTATGTGGTGGTGTCTGGCTTGTTCTCTACTGTTCTGTATTTTCTGTGAGCGTGAAGTTCTATCTAAAGGCAAAGCAAGTCTAAAACAATTTTAAAATGCCCCATTTGCTGTCCCTCTCTATCCCTAGATTGTAGGTGACAGTGATAAGACATGATTCACTGAGCCTACACAGTGAGGAAATGTGGTTTTCTTGGGATTGCAAACTTTTTTTTTTTCACTCTTTGTGTTGAGGAATAAAACTCATTAATCCTGGGAGTAATTTTTAACAGTAAAGCTGGTACTGCTTTTAAAGCTAGCTAAAGAAAGAAAGAAATGGAAAAGAAACATGACTGATCAGTGTAAGGTGACATGCTACTAAACATGAGTCCCTCAATTGCCCTCCCTCCCCAAATCACAAGTAGTCCTTTTTCACTTTGCCTTTATTAAATTCTGGTCATTCTGTCTCAGTTCTATCTCTCACTTAGTTTTTCAAGATGTTTATTGTCTTTGGCTGGAGCTGGATAGAAATTGATTTTCATACAGTATTTCTTTTTTTAAAAATATATTTTATTGATTTTTTTACAGAGCGAAAGGGAGAGAGTTAGAAACATCGATCAGCTGCCTCCTGCACACCCCCCACTGGGGATGTGCCCGCAACCAAGGTACATGCCCTTGACCGGAATCGAACCTGGGACCTTTCAGTCCACAGGCCGACGCTCTATCCACTGAGCCAAACCGGTTAGGGCCATACAGTATTTCTTTACTTTTTTTTTTAGTTTATCAATACCAGACATACTTCTGATAGGAACTTTTCAATTTAAAAGATTCTGACCAAGTTAAATAGCATTTTGACTGCCCCCCCCCCCATGAGTCTGAGTATAAACAGATTGACTTAAATCTGGCTGCTTAATGATGCAGTCTTGGATTGGGAGGTTAATCACTTAGGGTGGGATGACAGTGCAGGCATCGACCTAGCGGGTATTGTGGGTTCGGTTCCAGACCACCACAGTAAAGCGAGTCAGTCACTTTCTGGTGGAGGGTCTTGCCTTCCATTTGTAAAACACACAACATCTGTGACGTGCAATAAAATGAGGTATGCCTGAATAGGTAATGTTGACCAAAATTTCCATTTGTGGTTGGCGTGTTACAGAATCTGCACTGCACTCAGTAATAATAATAATAACAGTTACGTTTTATAACTCTTTCAGTTTGTAAAATGCTTCCAGGGTCATTTTCCAGTTTGAGCCTCAGTTCATCCTGGAAAGGAGGAATTCTATGCCTCCCTTACGAGAGTGCGGAAACAGGCCCAGAGGCCTGCTAATTTACCCACAGTCGTCCTGATGCCAGAATTCCGACTCCACAGCCCATTCTGTCCGAACTGCAGTTCCTGCTTGTATTTTATTTCTTGGGACTTGCTTGGAGATTGAATACTTTTAGAGGATAATTTTGAACATTCTGTGGTTCCCTTTATATTGACTTGTTAATTATTTTTATTTATTGATTTTATTGTTTTAAATAATTTTTATTGCCCTGCTGGTGTGGCTCAGTGTGTGGGTGTCGACCTCTAATTCAATTCCCAGTCAGAACACATGCCCAGGTTGTGGGCTCGATCCCCAGTAGGGGGTGTGTGGGAGGCAGCCAGCCAGTGATTCTCTCTTCTCCCTTCCTCTCTGAAATCAATAAAAATATGTTTAATAAATAAATAAATAAATAAAAAATTTATTTTTAGAGAGCAAAGGAGAGAGGGAGAGAGGAACATCACTGTGAGAGCCAAACATTGATCAGCTGCTTCCTGCATGCCCGCAACCTGAGCATGTCCCCTGACTGGGAATCGAACTGGCAACCAACTGAGCCACACCGGCCAGGGCTTTAGTTATTGATTGATTTTAGATACAAAGAGGAAGGGGGAGAGAGAGATAGGGAAGGTATGGATTTGTTGCTCCACTTATTTATGCTTTCATTGGTTGATTCTTGTATGTGCCCTGACGTGGGATCAAACCCGCAACCTTGGTGAATTGGGAGGATGCTCTAACCAACTGAGCTACCTGGCCAGGGCGACTTGTTAATTATCTGAATCACCTGCAGGTGTTTGCTTGCTGGTGAATAAGGTGAGTAGGTGGATGGGGAGTGGGAGGCACAGAGGCCATCCAATATCAAGGAGAACTTCTTACAGGAAACAGAAGTGAATCAGAGTCCAGAAAAAGAAGGCATTTGCCTCTGTAGGGGAGGAAAAACTTCCTTCTACCCTCTTAGGTTCAGTGGCTGGCCCTAAGAATTAAACAGACATAAGACAGATTAATAGGAGAAAACATACAAATTTTATTTTTTCGTGTGTATGGGAGTCTTCAAATGGAAAATGAAGACTCAAAGAAGCTGTTAGGCCCAAAAGCTTCAGTGAGGATGTGGTGAGACAGAGGGACTGAAATTGTGGAACAGTGACCAGGAAATATAAGGGGAAGCTAATAGAAGATAAGGGTTATTTTGGGTTTGTTTATATAGATACATTATGACTTTGACTTTCAGTCTCTGGTGGTAAGAATGTCCTCTGCCTGGTATAGGAAGGGCACCTTTTAGCTGGAAAGGGGGAGATGAGAGAAACTTTCCCGCACCTGCTACTTCTCAAGTGCCTTCAGCTCAAAGAACCCAATATGCCAAGCTGCATATTTTGGGGTGGCATGTTTTGAACACATTCATCAAACTTAACTAAGGTAATGGAGCCTATTCATCAAAGTATAGAAAGCAGCTCTAATTACAGGCTGAGGAATACACCTCAGACAAACCATGTCAGAAAGAAAAAAGCTTGGGGCTATAAGTCAAGAGATTTTTTTAATATTTTTTTTATTGATTTCAGAGAGGAAGTAAGTCAAGAGATTTTTTTAATATATTTTTTTATTGATTTCAGAGAGGAAGGGAGAGGGAGAGATAGAAACATCAATGATGAGAAAGACTATCGGCTGCCTCCTGCACGCCCCCAACTGGGACCAAGCCTGAAACCCGGGCAGGTGCCCTTGACTGAAATCGAACCTGGGACCCTTCAGTCCGCAGGCTGACGCTCTATCCACTGAGCCAAACCAGCTAGGGCTCACAAGAGATTCTTGCAGAAAAGGGAAGAAACTGGTGGCTGTGCAGTATATCCCTACAGCCCAATGCTCACTTGGTTCCAAAGCTGAATGTAGATCTTTGAAGTATGCTGAGACTTAGGGCCTGAAAGACTGACTCGTATTGGGAAGAGGTGGGTTGTAGGGGGAAGTGGGATCACCTGTAATTGGCCTCAGTGTAAGCATTGAAAAAGGATTTAGCATCCATTCCTATTAGGGTTGAGACAAGGACTTGGAAATTGGAAAGGTTTCATAATTGAGCCTCCAAGCTAATCTTTAATTCACTTTTGAAATTAGTATCAGAAAGTGTACTTGCTAAATTTGCTTGATTTGGGTTTCATTTGTTTTTTCACTTTGTTTCTAGGAAAAGATTGCTTTGGACAAATTCTAATTTCTTCGCTGCACAAAGGGAAAATGGGCTAGAGATGCAGATGGGCTCACTGCTCCTAATGATCACCTGGTGGATGACTAGACGGACTCCTGTGACGGGTCATTCTAGGCAGAAAGGCCCCTCCTCTCTTCGCAGGGTTTCCTTTCCCACTCTGCCCCTTCCCTATCTTATTTCCTGTCCTTATGAAAAGAAAATAGGTGCTGATTTCTGTGATCTGGGCATTCTCAATGAATTTGTATTTTATAGTATTTGATATTTGTGTGTTAACAGCCCTTTACTGTAATAGTACCTGTTGTGAATTCATCTCCCACCCTCCACTGACATATGCTTTTGCGTATCTTTGAAGTTTTCTGCATTGTGCTTTTCTCTCGTGGAATACTCTCTCCACGTCTCTTGAATTACCCAAACTCCTTTCATCTTGCAAGGTCTGTCTTAATGTTGAAGCAGCAGAGCACAGTGAGGGTCAGCTTGGCAGAAGCAGAGTGAGAATATACTGAAGAGAAGCTGGAGCTCGGCAACAATAATGTAGGGGTCTATTGATGGGCAGCTGTCTCTCCACAAACATGGAGATTGTCCTAGTGCTAAAAGCTAAAGGGCATGTATTTTAACTAAGGATGACATTGTTATTGGCCATGCCCATCACAACCTGACTTCATGTCTTATTCTTCCCCTTGTTCTCTTGTCCTCTGCAGCCGGGTTTATCAGGAACAGCACTTGATAGTTTGGGTCGGATAATTATTTGTTGTGAGAGGCTAGCCTGTCTGCCTTGTAGGATATTTAGCAGCATCCCGGGCCTGAAGCCTAGATGCTAGTAGCACTTTCCCGGTTGTGACAGCTAGAAATGAATATAGACGTTGCTAAATGCTATGGGCTGGGGGAGAGTCAGGAGAAGAGAGGTTCTGCAGAATCGCTCTCCATTGAGGACACTGCTCTACAGGCTCAGTGAATTTCTTCCAGGCTTGTACCTACACATGTGTGTGCAGAATGCCCTTTCCATTAGTTTTAGCTTCAAGATGACCTCTTTTGTGAAGCTTTTCTCATCATACTGCCAGAGCTGTTATTGCTTCCTTTTTGTGTTCCTATGCTAACAATGTGTGTTTAAATGAAAAGCCAAGATGAGAGGCAACAAGCACTTATTTGAGTTAAAAAAGAATTGCACTTCTGGGAAACACTGATTCAGGCAGAAACCTAAATAGTTTACAATTATGGGGTGAAGGCAAGGGATAATTGTGAGAAAGGTAAGGAGACAGAAGAAAGGAATTTCTGTTGGTGTTAATGAGCTAAGGAGGGAATTTCTATAGGTGCAAGTTATTCTTTAGCTACACATGGTGGTACTAATTCTAAAGAACTATCAGGATTTCTGCTTTCCTGTTAACTTTGTAATCAGTTAATTGGAATATACCATTGTTTGGCCCAGCCCAAAAGTTATTTTGTCCAGTTGAAACATCCCAAAGTTTGAGGAGTAAGGTGTGCAAGGCAATTCCTCTGGGTGGCTGCTCTGACTCCATTTTGAAGTGGCTCCATTTATATTATTTTCACACAACCATTGTGCTGGGTTCTAGGGCAGTGATGGTGAACCTTTTGAGCTCGGCGTGGCAGCATTTTGAAAAACCCTAACTTAACTCTGGTGCCGTGTCAGATATAGAAATTTTTTGATATTTGCAACCATAGTAAAACAAAGACTTATATTTTTGATATTTATTTTATATATTTAAATGCCATTTAACAAAGAAAAAACAACCAAAAAAATGAGTTCGCGTGTCACCTCTGACACGTGTGTCATATGTTCGCCATTACTGTTCTAGGGATACAGCAGTGAATATAAACATTTCTTGCCTTCTGTTGCTACAGTGTAGTTTATTATATCACAGTTATATTTGTAGTTCCCATATAAATTTCTGGAGGGCGGGACCAAGTCTTGGGTCTTATTCATTTCTGTGTTCCCTAACCCCTTACCATACTGTTTGGCACAGAGTTGGCCTTCATAAATATTTGATGAGTAAAGGAAATAAACAATTTATTCTTCTCTCTGCATCTTTGCTTGCATTACCCTAATCCAGGTCCTCTTCATGGTAAATGGGAGCTCTTACCCGTTTCAAGCAGCTATCCTGACTCCTTGCTCCCTTCAAATCCTTCCCTCCACAAAGACTCCAGAATGACATGTCCACAATGCAAACCTTACTCCTTTGCTTAAAAGCCATCAGTGCTTCTTGCTGCATCTGACACTTTAAAGACAAGTGTCTGTAACAGCTGAGTCTGGCCTTTTCTGGTCACTCCTTCCCTACACTTTTTTCCAGCAGCTAGAATGGCCTGTCGTTCTCCCTAATCATTGTGCTATTTCACACCCTGATGCTCTGCTCCTGCTGCTTCCTCTTGTCTGCAGTTTCCCCTCTTGTACTGGGTAACTCTAACTCAGCCTTTAAGATTCAGTTCAGGGACCGCTTCTTCTGGAAGCCTTTGGGCCAGCTCCCAGACTAGGTCGGGGTTCCTCGTCTGTGTCCCACAGTACCAGTGTCTGCTTGGAACATTTCTTACTGTCTGTCGGTGGGTCTGCCTTCCCAATTCCCAGTTTCTTCACAGTAGGCATTCTCTCTCTCATCTTTGTAGCCCAGGTGTCTAGCACAGTGACACAGTGACTGGCAAGCTGCAGGCACTCAGATTTTGTTGAAGTGAATGAATGTGAGGATGAAAAGTATGAGCTTTTATTTAAAGCAAAGGTTTCACATAGAGGCTCTTCATGATTAATCATTTATTTTTCTTTTGCTTTCCGCAGATATTGGTATCAACTTGACAGATCCTGTATTCAGAGGAATTTATAGGGGGGTTCAAAAGCATCAAGGTAAATGTTTTATTGAGGTAAACAGTTTCTCTATGAAGATAAATAGTCTGCCTCAAGGAGACCTAGAAAAGCATAATCCACTCTTACAACTGAAATATTACTATGCATCTTGGATAAACTGTAAACAAAGTGAAACACCTATAAGCTACATTGATAAACTGTGATAGTGAACACTTATAATGCACCTGTTGTAACAGTTAACCAAGCCCTTATCTGTAGAAGTTTATAATTTCGAATATAGAACTATACATAACCATATGCAGAAAAGCCAAACAGTAGTTGATGTTTAGTCTTTCAGGCAATCGAACAGTAAGGGCACATAATTTAAAAATAATGTCCAGTTGAACATTAGTATGTCTGGTTTTCCTAAAACATTTCAGTGGGGTGACTACGTGGGAATGTGGTTTAGGGGGTGGTGCACTGCAGTTCTCTGTCTTGCCTCTCCCCCTTTCCAGCCCAGTCCTGCTAGATCCTACACATCTGCAGTGCAGGTGGGAAGAGTAGTACCTCAAAGATTGATGGAAAGCTTAGCCAAAAACAAAATGGCTTCTATTTATCACATCAAGTTCATTTTTAAAAGGCTTATGTCAGCTACGTGACTAAGCAGGAAATGACGGTGACAAGTTTTTTAATTTCTCCAATAAACTAGCCTGTGCATATTGCCTCAGAAAATTACTGTATTTGTCATTATGTAAGTACAAATAGGAAACTTTGGTTTTGTGGGTCTGGATGGTATGGAATTGCACATTTCACATGCTCAGTCATAAGTTAATCTCACTTGATACTAAGTGAAAGCTTTAAATATAGGAAATGCTCGATGTCACTTGAACAGAGAAAGATAAATGTTAGTTTTCCTTAACCTTACCTCAAAACTTATTTTACCTACTGCATTTAGAAGTTTAAATGTTATTTACATAGTATAGTTAGAAAACTGAATCAATTACATTCTGCTTTTTTTTTTCGCCTCCTAGCACTCAGAGTTCATGCTTTGTGACTGGGTGTATATATTTGTATATGTGTGTGTATGAAATAAGTGTTATAGTGATCAATATCAGTATTATTCTAGTTTATAATAATTAGTAAAACTGCTCTACTTATATACGTTCACTAAGTTGATAATTCTTTGTCTAAATTATATTTTGTAGCTATTCTAGAAGTAATAGTAATTGAATTCCAATCACATTTATTTTGATGCTTAAATATGAAATTAAGAAATAGGTTTTTATGACATAATTGTTTAATTTTGCTACAGGCCTCTCGGAGCTTAGTAATTACTATTGATCTCCCCCAAAAGTTTGTTACTTAACAATCAATTTTAGGAAAAAAGCAAAAAACAACTGTCAGAGAAAATAAAAAATTAACCTTCCTCAGTGGGGATAGTAATTATAGAAATACGGCATTAACTAAAATTTTAAAATAGATGCTATATTTTGGGGTGCATTGCAGGTGTACTCTAAAAAGCCATAGTAAAAATAATCTTAATGATTTCTATTTTTAAAGATCTACCAACAAGTTTGAAATTCAAAGCAAATGGTTCAAATTGTAGTCAGTGAATTCATCTTTAGTTTGAACCTCTGAATTTTGTCACTTTATACTCTTTTGGCCAACAGAATAAAAATACAAATAAATGAATAACTTCACCTAGTTTGCCTTATACAGGTTTCTTTTTCTAAGATTATCACACTCTATTCTTATACGTTAAGTACTTGTTAAATAGTATTGATTTGATTTTGATTTAGTAAATGTGACTTATAGGTAAATGGAGTTTTATTTACCAGGCCCTCTTACTTTGGGGTTCATCTTTTACAGATGACTTACAGGATGTAATACAGAGAGCTGTCCAAATTGGTGTTAAAAAGGTAACATCTAGTTTTTATTACTATTGAGATTTTTCTTAAAAACTAAATTTTGGTTAAAATACTGCTGAATAGAAGGGAAAAAGCAAGTATCACACTTGCCTTTTTTGAGTATATACTGTTAATATGTAATATTATCAAGTTAATGAAATAAAGTATGTCCACATATTCTGTTCACAGCAGTTTAAATGACACAAGCTTCATGGATAGTTAGTTCTTCCATGTGATCAGAAATAGCAAAATCTCTTTGAAATTTTTTTCAAAGTCCGTCTGAAATTCCAGGCGTCTGAAGAGGCAACCTTAAATACATTCATTTTATGGCATACTTTAGTATTTATTGAGGTAAGCAGTCATAAAAAAGACATGTATCTGTCACTAAGCCTAGTTTTTATAGTATGTAGGTATACCATTTCAAGTAACTGAGAGGACAGTTTCATTTTTTAGTAATAATTTGATTAGGAAAATGCCTGCTATTTCAGAGAGTTCTGTAGTGGTGCGGTATCAGCACACTTGGTGGCTACTGCCTCTACATTGATTAACTTCCCAGAGATCTTTAGTTATTCAGTCTTTTGCAGTGTTTCACAACCTGATCTCTGCCTTCAAGGAACTCATGGTCTAATAGGAAAGACAGACATGTGAATGCATTTCAGTAGGTGGGAGTGATGAATTCTGTGTATTGTGTGTCTGTGCGTGGAGAGGAGTAGACAGGGACCACTCTACATATAGGAGATGATCCTTCAGCTGAATTTTAAAGGAATGGGAGGTGTGTGACAGTGATAGATAAAAGCATTCTGGAAAAAAGCAGTAATGGGAAGGCATGTTTGTGGAACAATTGCTGATACCTTGTTAAAGTGGGCTTATTTTATTTCTATTTCAGTTTATGATTACAGGTGGAAATCTACAAGACAGTAAAGATGCACTCCATTTGGCACAAACAAATGGTATCCTCATATTACTTTTACCAAAAGCAAATATGAATTAAGTTATTTTGAAGAAATCTTTCTGAGAACTGCTTCAGGTACAATACAATGGATCATGACTGTAGAAACAACAGGAAAATAGACTGATTTCAATGGGACATGATTATGATGAAAAGTTCGAAGTGCCCATTGGCATAGAGCTTAATAAGGATTGTACTTAATAAGGATTAAGATTTCAGTTAATGAGAATTAAGGTCACCAGGTATATAATTTAACCTCAAATATTCCTGATGTAGAATTTTTGTGTATATGTTGTAATGTGTTTAAGGTGAATTGCTTGCTATTTGCTCTTTTTTAACCTAAGCTGTGAAAAAACATTAAATATTTATTATGTAGACCACTGTGCAAGTAATACTGAACTACATAATCCATCCTGTACTTTATGTTCATACATTCTGCAATTATTTAAAATCTATGAAATTTTGGAATTGATTCCTAAAGAAATCTTAATTATATAAAATACCTCCTTTATCCAGCATTCATTTACTTATCAACCTTTTTTGGGGGGTGTGGTTTGCTTTATCTATTGGACACTGAAAAATTAGGCATTCTACGTTATTTTTCAAAATAACTGGCTTATTAAAAGCTATTGTTTATGGAAATCGCTTCAGGATCCACTGCTACTTTTTCATAATGATTAAGGTCATAAAAGTAGTCATCTTTCCAGAGCTTTTAGGTGATGAGAATATTGTCTTCCATACTTTTTATCCCCAGATACGTTTAAAAAAATCCTCAGATCTCCGATGTCAGCCCTTTTCCACTCCTCTCCGTGTACCTGTGTCCTCACTGCTTTCAAAGCTCTGCCTCCCTTTTTATGTAAACATCTGCTCAGAGTCACAGGAAGGCTCCACACCTTTCCCATGGTTCAGCTGCACCTTAAGCCACTCAAAAACCCTTTTGGCTTCATATTTGTGTACTATGCAATTAAAACTATCAAAAAGTATGGCCTCCAGATAAGTGAGCTTTATTTTTATTTAGAAAAACAAATTCCCCCTTCCACCTCTTTAAGTTACCCTTATTAATGGGAAGGAATATACATTTTAACTATTAAATACATGAAATAACACAACACATGAACAGTGACTATAAAAGATAAATTTAGTTATTGACATTTAATTCTACAATTGTTTTCATTTTCCGTTCTACAAGGCTCAGTATATACCAAGCTTTGTTTTTTGTTGTTAATCCTCACCTGAGGATATTTTTTCATTGATTTTTTTTAGGGAGAGTGGAAGAGAGAGGGAAAGGCACAAATGTTGATGTGAGAAAAATACATCGATTGGTTGCCTCCTCATGAGCCCCGACCAGGGCCTGGGCTGGGGAGGAGCCTGCAACCAGAGTATGTGCCCTTGACCAGAATTGAACCCAGGACCCTTTGGTCCGCAGGCCGATGCTCTATGCACTGAGCCAAACTGGCTAGGACTAAGCTTTGGGAAGAGTTGCATTAATTATTTTTATCAATATGTTAAGGCAATTTTCATCTTCATGCCCTACCTTGTTAAAGTATTCCAAAAAGTTTTATATGATTAAACTAATGCAATTCTGATAGTTTGAATAGTTTTTGGCTATTAAAAATTAACCAGTTGAAATTAATCTATAGTCTCATTTATGCATATTAAATATAAATATGAAAAATAGTTTAAAAATAATCCTAGGACATTATTTTGTGCTTAGATATGTTTTTCAGTACAGTTGGATGTCATCCTACAAGATGTGATGAATTTGAAAAGAATAACCCCGATATTTACTTAATGGAGTTGCTAAATCTTGCTGAAAACAACAAGGGGAAAGTTGTAGCAATAGGGGAATGTGGACTCGGTAAGTGCCAACCCAGCTCTGTGAGTGACCTTGAAAATATAATGATTTGTTCTGTACAAGTCATGAGTAATTATTCTTTTTTGTCTTGAAGATTTTGACCGACTACAGTTTTGTCCCAAAGATACTCAGCTCAAGTAAGGAAATTTGTTGACTTTAGAAATGATTGTAAAATCTTAATTTTTTTAAAAAAAATAGCTTTTATCATCCTGAATATATATCTTTAAGCATCAGGCTCTCTTTTTTTCCATTGTATATCAACAGTTAAGTGCAGCACATGCCATGCATACTTGCATGTAATTTCTAAGGGACCAAAGGTTAGATAGATCCCTGATTGATTAGCCATATAATCTGATTTTAATGGTAGAAATAAGTGATGAGTTTTATATAGTAGAGGCTTTGTGTTGCTTTTGACTTAATGCATTCATACATGAACCATTCCAATGAAATGAATCGTATTCATTTGTGGGGGATATGATTTAAGAGAAAGGATATGAAAAAGTGATCGGACCAAAGCCAGAAAACTTATTTTAGTCTTGCTGGGCTTTGGATAATGTCACTTTGGAGCAGAGGAATCCTTAAGAGCTATGTTGAGAGTGGTGTCTTCTTAGAAAACAACAAAGCTTACAAGCTTTGGGGACTTCCTATACCCTATTGCCTATAGCTTTTAGTTGGAGCTCCTGTCATACTGGTGGGTAGTGTTAGAGGCTGAAAAGAAAATTTAGGTCATAGGCTTAATTGAAGATGTGCATTTTGTTGAATTTCAAAAACAATTTTAATTGTCTAGATCAGTGGTTGGCAAACTGCGGCCCCTTGAGTGTGGCTCTTCCACAAAATACCACGTGTGGGCACGCACGTACAGTGCGATTGAAACTTCCTGGCCACACTCAAGGGGCCAAAGAGCCGCATGTGGCTCGAGAGCCGCAGTTTGCCGACCACTGGTCTAGATGATAAAATATTAGAATGAGCTTCTAAAGGAGGTTAATTTAGTTATTCCACCATTCAGCAAATATTTAGAGACTTATATGTGCCAGAAACTGCTAAGAACCCAATAGTCAAAAATGTGAATAAAGTATAATATCTGTCCCTACGGCCATTTAAGAATAAACAATCCTCTGCTTAGTTGCTTATACATGAGCAAGGAGTCTGGATCAAATTCTTTAAGATACCGTCTAGCTCTAGCATAATATTTTTTTTCTCTCTTAATATTTAATTAACCATTTTGTCATATGATCTTGATTAAGCCAGTGGCTTGAAGGGATTTTTCAAATTATATATGCCAAATTATATCTCCCCCTCCCTTCACTGCCCTACCACAAACAGCCCCATATGTCCAGCCCAGTTGAAAATGCCTATAGCAAGAATCAGATTGAGTAGCGATTCTGTCACACCCAGACTTCAAGCTCCAGAATTCCTGGAGCGTGAAGGTTCATAACCAAGTGACATAGGATGGATTACATTAATGTTCTTCGAAGTCTTTCAGTTCTCTAATCTTTATAACCATGTCAGAACTATTTAATTAGTGACATAATATTTGCTGTGTTTTTCAAGGATGCTCATGTGATTACCCACAGGATCACTAAATCCCTTTATCTCTCTTAAATATCATGTAGGTCAGTTCACTTAATCTTAAGTTCACAGATTCATATTTAAGTAGAAAAAACAGTTGTCTGTAGTGGTTTCTTAAGTTAAGCCCACAGATCATAATTCCTCCACTTTGGTGTCTTTTCAGCCAAGATAAGCCTCATGAGGCAAAGACTGTGGTGTGAGAATAATAAGACTTTAGAACTATTTAGAACTGTAAATTACAGGTGCTCTTTGAAGGAAAGAAGTAGCAATTCTAATGTTCAGAAGCTGACAGAGATGGATGAGCAGGACATCCGAGTAGAGCGTATGCTAAGTGTAATCAGGCAAATTCTATTTTCTTACCTGAGCAGCTATTTTATTGGGACTGCTTATGTATGTCCGAGGAGCCCACAACTTGGCTACATAACTTTTTTGTACTAAAAGAACTCAACTTTTTGTGGCTTTTAGTCCACATTTAATTTAAAGTAACTATAGCACTAAAATGCCTAGCGGAAGATTTTCCTCCAGACCCCTAAGGAAATTTTATGAAAAATGACCCTTCAGTGGTTAAACTTCTCATGTCATTGGTGCTTCTGGCCCCAATAGCACCACTAGACAACACAACAACCACATGGAAACATATTTTTGAAAGCAAAACTTTATGACACATTCTATGATGAGTGAAGATAATTTAAGAGCTATTTGTTTTTTTTCCTTAATAAAATGGAACCTACTGTGTTGAAGACTCATGTGATTCTCTAAGCGTTTTTTAATAAATTAGAATAAAATCTGATGTGATCCTGGTCATTGAATGAATTTGTATGGAAAGTTACATTTTATTCATGAATATTTTAAAAGAGGACATAAATAATTAACATAGGTTGGAAAATTGTTTTTGCCTGCTCTGTAATAGGAAGGCTAATTTCCAAGCTGAGCATTCGATTCTGTAAGTCTCCAGCTTGGTCATGTGGCTTAGTACATAGAATTCTGCTGAAAAATATTTTCAGTTTAGAGGGGAGAACACAAAGTGGAGAATATTGCCTGCTGTGCATAGCCAGAAGCCGCACACTAAGTTCACAGAATGACTGGAGCACACTTACTTGCTGACATTTGAATTAATTTAGAGGTTATGAAAATAATGACTAGTAGTAATGATTTAAATATTTTTTCCCCTCAAGTTTCCCACACTGAAATTTCAGCACTTTAAAAATATTTTTGTTTATACTAACCCAGCAGAATTTTAAAAGGTGATTTAAAAACCTAAACATTGGGTAATAAAGACATAGACCACCGATTTTAGGATGACTATGTCTTTTAAAAGTATATTTTTGTTTCTAATTTTGAAATTGAGCATTTTCGAAGATAGAGGGGTACTCAGTAAAATAGCTGCTCTGCACTTCAGGAGACAAGATATGGGAAAATATTACCAAAGAGATTTAAGTTAAACACAGAGAAATTGTTCCCCAAGATCAAGAGGTCTAGAAGAGCTAAGCCCCTTGGAAAATAATAAGACACCTCTTGTCTGTAACTCCTGGTTTCACCTAAAACTACTTGACCATTAAGGAAAATGAGAGGGAACACTGTGCTAAAATGAAGGGAAAAAACACCCCTCCACCCACCACCCCATTATATCCTCTGGATATTATACTGTGGGACCAGGAAGAGGCTTCTTTGATACACCATGACTTTTGGTTTTGGCTGGGACTTGGAATTGGAGCACTGAAGTTCGGGTTCTGGGTTTGCCATGTTGTGTGTTGTGATCTTGAACAAGGTCCTGCCCACCTCTGACACCAACCCTTGTGCTATGCTAGATGAGATAATGGTATGTGGCACTTGGAAAACCTTTCTATAAAATATTCTAAAATATTCAGAGCTGCTACTTTATGTAATTTTCATTTTTCTGAAAAATGGAGTATTTTAGTTTTTGTGCTCTTTAACAGCTCCTTGTATTTAGTTTATAAGGGAATCCTTTTGGTACAGTGGCAGTAATTTATTATACAACAGCACATAGAAAACACTGAGTATAAATAAAGCTCTGCCTGGCTTCTCACTGGAGTCAGCTGGCTCCTGCTGATGGTGCTCAGCCAGCTCTCAGAGCAAGGGGCCGGTCGTGTATTTTCCATCACCAAACACATTCTGCAGGGAAGGGATCCCACAGGTTATAGGATGGTGTCTGCTTCATTTGCTGAGATTTGGTTGGACAGCTAGTTAAAAGTAATTATTTGGGGAAATACCCTATACCTCTAAACTTAAACTCTATAGCTCTTTAGTTCTAGTGATCAATAGTAAAGTACTACTTAATTTACCCTGTAGTTAATAATCATTTCTGAAAATTTTGTAATCCCAGAAAATGAAGTACCCCTTTCCAGAAGATGTGTGTTGTAAAAGCCTTTGGCTAAGCCTGGCATATTTTAAATGTCTCAACTTAGTATCTTTGCCCGATAATTTCTAGGGAAATTCCTTTAACTAAAAAAGATAATTTAACAATTATTTTTCTCATGCTAAAATAAAATTTTTAACAAAACCTTTTGTATTATGCAGATATTTTGAAAAACAGTTTGAACTGTCAGATCAGACAAAATTACCCATGTTTCTTCACTGCCGAAACTCACATGCTGAATTTTTGGGTGAGTTAAAGCTATAATATTTAGAATTTAAGTTTTGCAGAAATCCAACTATTTGCTAAAAGTTCTCTGTTTTTAATTCACAGACATAATGAAAAGAAATAGAGATCGGTGTGTAGGGGGAGTAGTAAGTATGAGTTGTTTTTACTAGATGCTGCAAAAAGCTTCTTGGTTATTAAGATTGGTCTTTTAAAGTAATTCAGATGTCAGCAATAAACTTACTAAGATTCCTCTCATTATCTGAAGGACATGTAAATTTAGTTACTGTCTTCAAAGTACAAAAATGAGTATAGAATTCTGTTCACTCTGCCTTTTCTATCAGACACTCTTAAATTTGAGCAAAATTAATTTTAATAATACTTAAAAATAATTTAACACTTAGGCTTGCCTTCTTAACTTCTTTTCAACTGTATTCACTATTATTACTCTAACTTAGAGACTCATTCTCCTTTCTGTAATTTGCTTCTACTCTAAACACTTCTATATGGTCATCTTAGTCATTAATCTTGAGACATTTCCCATAAATATTGTCTACCCACCACTTAACGCGAGTATCCATGTGACTTTTAATATTCTGGGGACCATGGACTCCTTTGAAAATCTGCCTCAGAAAAATGCTCAGATATGTCAATTTTCATACATAATCGCAGGAGAGACTCACTGGGCTCCAATAAAAAAACCTGTTCTCTAGGCAGAGGAAATAGCATTTTGCACTAATTGAATACCCACATTGCACTGCTTTGACAATTTCATATTTATGCTCTTAAATTCTTAGCCTCATATTTTATGCATACTAGTGATATGCATGCTTTTTGCATTGCTGAGGTATTAAATATTACAGTGCACATTTTTATCTGTAATTTACTGACCCTATAACTTATCCTTTAGGAATAGTACTTGGAAATTGAGAGAGGCTTTCATTAATGCTCTTGGTATTACTGGTGGCACTTAAACCTTCAGGCTCTACTTCTCAGCCCATTTACTTTATTTCTAAATAAGAATTTACTTGGATGATTCTATAATAGTTAAAAAAAAGTAACAGCAACAGCAAATCCAACTTAAATTTTTGACTTTTATTAAAAATTTTCAAATAAAGAAATAATATTCTGAAATGGTTTATATGGAGTCACGTTTAAAATTATTTGATACTGTTGGAGGCTATGTTTTCTAGTCAGAGGATAAAAATAAACCCTTTTGGGCATCTAATAGTTTTGTTGTATAGAAACTTGTTACCCAGTGTATTCTGACTCTAGCCTCAGTATTAATTTGATATCACTGGCTAAGTATGTTTAAAGGAGTGTTATTGTTTTTACTGGTTTTGATTACATAAATACTATGAAAGCTATACCTTACCTCCTATATCTTTGAAGGAGAAAAACGCCCTCTCAATTTTTTTTGCCTATTGAGCTGATATTATTAACTATATAATATTGTTTTAGCAACGTTCTTACAACCTCTTTATGTCTTAAAACTTGCCTCTTAAAAGTAATTTCTAACCGAAAAATTGAACGTTTAAAAATATATTTTTAATAGTTTTATAATATTTCTAATTTTTTCTCATGCTTTTGCCTACGAATGTGGTTCCCTAGTCCAGTTTTCCTTCCTGGAGATGCATGCTGTAATGTATACATGCCCTAATGCCAGTGGAGATAGCCACAGGGGGCCACAAAGGCAGAGATTTTAGGCAGCCAACAAATTCCTTCTTATCTCATGTAATTGGAGATGATGACAGGTTATAATTGAAAATAAAAATTGTAGAGGCCACCACATTTGAAATCTTGTGGTCCAAAAATCCTAAATGCACCTATATTTTTGCTTAGAAAAATCTTATTAAAGGAAAAGTAATTATAATAATAGAATTATGCCTGTATGTCTTTAGGTACATTCATTTGATGGTACCAAGGAAATAGCAGCTGCTTTGGTTGACTTGGATCTCTATATAGGATTTAATGGTTGGTAGGTTCTGTTTTTGTTTTTTAACATATTAAGCGGATTCCTTAAATTGTTATAGTGAATTGCTGATGATAGAATTTGTTAATTTAGTTTGTATTTTGCATTGACCTTGGCCTGAAAATTTCAGTAATTATGTAGGAAATTAAACAGTACTATTACAAGTTAAAGCTGGAACATTAAAAACTACCATGTGTTCCAATAATGGAAAATAATTTTATGTTGAGCTCAGCAACTAGCTTTCTGTAGCAATGCAGTTTATTTTCAGGTTATTTTTGTCCCTTTAAAACATACCTGTTCATTGTGTGTGTGTGATGACTGACCACGGGGGAAAGGTTATACTATGACATAATCATCTATATCTCTGTAGGTCAATTAACTGGGGCTTAGAGAAGCTAAAAAACAGGTATAAAGTAACTCAAAAGTGTGAGGACCTGTGTCCTCTGGCTCCTCACTCAGTGACCTTTCTGCTGTTATGCCAAATTAAAACCTCACACACCCAATACAGGCTCATTTTCTTCCAGATTTGGTGAGCCTCCACCAGTGTCTTTTTACAGGATGTCAGTGTAGGTCATTAAATAAATTGCAAAGTAGTATAAGATTACTTTCCATCATTTGTGTTTAATTTCCTTAAAATTATTTTTCTGATTTTTTTTTTACTATAATCTTAGAAAATAGAAAAATGAAATTTACCTGTTTGCTATAGAGTTCAGACTTACTTAAATGTTCTAGTATTTTAAGTTATTTAATTACTATACAAAGGACTACATGCCTATGGAAGAGAAAGTCCAGTAGTACTAAGAGGCTTTAAACACTCTCCAGCATGTCCTGTACCCCTGAATCAATTTTTCCAGAGGCAATCACATTACTCTTTATCACCTTCTAATTTATATGCATTGTTATTCATTCCCTTTACCTGTTCTCATGAAGGTATATGAGCATTTAAGTCCATATTCCATACTGTTCCCCCACCTGCATTATCCTCCATAGTCCCCTTAGTTTAGAGTTTTCGGTTATATGCATATTCCATGTTTTCATTATGTTTGTATATTGTTGACTGCTGAACCATGTGGTGTACCACTTTTTTTATTCTCCTGGAGTAACTTTCCTCATACTTTTGTTTACTTGGCTTTCTTCAAAACTAAGCTTCTTACACTTTGCAACATCTCTATAAAATGCCTATGAGGAAACCTGTCTAGATAATCTGATTGTTCCATTCCTTCCAGACCCTTCCATCTTGCTGCTTGTTAGGACTAGTGTTTCTTCTTTGATAGAACTATTTTTAGATCCCATGTATTCCTTTTGTGTTGCTGGAACACATTTGAAAGTGAATTTATTCTACTTTTCCCTCTTGAAAGTTTGCCTAGATAGTGGATTTAAAAAAAACCCACACTTTCATTTGATATTTTTTCTGCAGCATCTTCTCATCTCTCCGAAGAATTACAGTTTTTTAAAGTTATTTTCTGTTTGCCAAAAAATGCTCCGTGTTCCTTTTCCCCCTTTTGTTGTTTTGGTCTCTATCACAATGGAGGCTTTCTTCAAATGTCAGGCTGTTCTTCCCTGTATACTGGAAAAGTTAAAAAAAGAAAAAAAAGCTGATTGGAAGCTCAGTGGTGAGATAGCCTATCAACTGGGCCAGTCAAGTGGCCAACTGACATTCTCAGCTGGGATTCCTAAATGTCAGCTTGTTGAGCTCTTCCTCCCAGTTGGTTCAGTGTCTCCAGAGAGGATCCTCTGCTCCCTGCTGGAAAAGTGGAATGGAGATTCATAAATGTGCCTGTGTTCTGAAGCAGGGAGGGGTTGGAGAGAGGATTTCACTGTGCAGTAAGCAGTCTCCATTTTCAGTTCCATGCCTGACCCTGCACTCCTCTGTGCTTGCTCTCCAGTCTAGTCTCTGGTTTAAATTCTCCAGACTGTACACATCTCTCTCCCTCCTATATCCTCCCTCTTTCTCCCTGGGTGGGGGCAAAAGTAATTAATCATCTCTGCACTAGTTCATGAGAAAGTAATCTAGGAGTCCCATCTTCTCTTTACTCTGACTTTTCACTTTTCAAACAATCCCCCCTTTCAGTCCCCTGCCTTATCCGTCTTTTCCTGGTTCTTCCAGTTCTTAGAACTTTCTTGGGTGAATTGGTTTGTCTTCAGTATTTCTCTCTATAGGCATATAACACTTAAGTTGCTTAGCAGGTAAATATGGGTTATCATTTCTCCATCCACTCTCTACTCTATGTATTTTGATTAGGGGTTAGAAATGCCTTCTAGTTTCATAAAAAACACGCTGTTTCTTTTTTTCCTTGTTATTTTGGGATGGCTTTCCAGAGACAGGGGTAGAAGGCTTTTATTCTACCCATTTGAACTGTCAAGTCTGTTTCAGATGTTTCTAAATTATCTCGAGTTTATAAAGACTTAGCTTTTTTCCTCCCTACATTAACTGAATTAATGGATTAGTCGTTTAGTCAGAGTCAGTATTTCTGGTCTTATTTTGAAATTTATTTTAGTCTTAATCTGAGTTTCTGCAGTATGGTAATTTATACTATCTATAACAAACTTTGGTTTCTAATGATTAAATTATAACCTTCTTCCCCCCGCCCTCACCCCCCTCCCCCCCAAGAAAATGGGCAAGGTTTAAACTTGAACACACAATCTCAGTTGTTCTTCCTTAGACCCCGTCATCCACCCTGCCTCCAAGGCCTTTTCCCTCACTACGTATATTGTCTACCCATGGGCTATGCATATATGCACATAAGTTCATTGGTTAATCTCTTCCTTCTCCCCGCACTCCCCATTTCTGTATTTTGATCAATTTTTACAAACATGGAATACATGTTGGAAAAGTCTTAAGTCAGACATGATTTCATGAGATCAAAAATATGTAAATTGTTAATTTGGTGACAAGTTTTAAATTTAGTATCCAAACTGTGGGAGCAGAAAATTTAATTTTCCTTCTACCCTTTAAGTTATTCTGCCTGGATTCTATAATCAAATTAATATGAGATAAATTAATAGGAGAAAATATTCAAACTTATTACGTAGGTATATATGGGAGTTCCATGAGAGTGAGACCAGAGGACAGAGGAAGCTGATATAGCCATCTTGAGCTAAGAAGGGAGGAGTTGTGGTTTGGGACTTCAAAGGGGAGAAAAGGAGTTCACATGGAGATGAAAAGCAAATGTTTGGTAAACAAATGTCTGCTGGGCCTTCTTTAACAATGGGACATAACAGGACTTTGATCAGATGGGCCTTGCTAGTTGGTTCCTCTGTTATACTTAGTTCATATTAAACTATTGTTGTTTATGATGATAGCTCCCTCACTGCACTGGAGCAGATCCTCTTTCTAAATTCTTAGGCCAGTGGTCGGCAAACTGCGGCTCGCGAGCCACATGCGGCTCTTTGGCCCCTTGAGTGTGGCCACAAAGTTTCAATCGCACTGTACATGCGCGCCTGCACATGGTATTTTGTGGAAGAGCCACACTCTTTTGTAGAAGGGGCCGGAGTTTGCCGACCACTGTCTTAGGCAGTTAGGGAGAAATGTCAAAGTTTTTCCTTAAAAATAACTAGCTTCAAATAATAGCCCAAAGGCATATTTGCAGTGGCAAACTCTGCTTCCCCTTAATACTGAGCATATCAATATATTTTAGAAAATATTTACATTGACCAAGTACTAATATGGCTGAAAATAATTCTGTTTTCTTCTAGAGAACACTAATTAAAAGACTGGTACTTATGGTAAACTAGACAAACATTTCACTCCCACCCCTCCTAAAACCCTACTAAAATTATATCCAAAAAGGGAAACGTATAAAAATGAAAGTGAGTTTTGCTAATGTAGATTTCTGGAAAACAGGTGAAACTGAAAGAGAAAGTTTAGACTATACCACTCTAAGTTGTGTCAATTTCTCAGAAAAGTGAAATATTCTAAAAAGTTTTACTTACTCATAGGAAGTTATTGTATCCTCCCCAAAGGCAGGATCTGGTTGGAATAGATCTTAATTTGGATTCAGTAAGGCTAGTTAGTGACAAGGAGAAAATTCTGAGATGTCCTGAATTAAACCACAACAGGCCAGAAGGTTGAAGGAAGAACAGGAGGGGGTTAATCAGTAAACAACTGCAAGGCCAGGTAACAAGACTGCTCACATTCCTGTATGTTGTCTGGTAGAATTTTGGATTAACTGCCTTGTGGCTATTTCCACAATTATCTAAAAAGAGACTAGCTAGGCGCCATCTGCTTGAACTTTCCAATCTATTACCCACAGCCAGTCCCAGAACAGACACCTTCCTGGAAGACCTTGAGCCTATCCCAGAGCTGACCCTGTTTCACCTCCTCCCACCCCTTATCTATCTATATACACTGTAAATTCTTTCAAAACAACTCGTATCCCCACCATGATGTGCAAGAATGCGCAACTCTAGGATGGCTGACAAGTTGCCTTTTCCATCTAGTACTAGTGCTGGTGGTTTAAACTCCATACCCCAGGACCTGGTCTTTTTCTTGCTGGCAATGGCCTAATAGCCCTTTAAAAAAACTTTCAGCCTTGGTGGTTAGAACTTTTATTTAATATGGATGGGCAAATACAATGGTATATTGCCTCTGTAGCCAACCAAAGTTTGTTTTGGGATTTTGAGTTAGTTTTGTGATCTGTTTAGACAAGTTTATAGTATGAAAAGTCATTAAATACACCTTTTTATTTTATACATTAATATCTTTTAAGCTCACTGAAAACTGAGGCTAATTTGGAAGTTTTGAAGTCAATACCTAGTGAAAAATTAATGATTGAGACTGGTAAGTTTGTTTTTAGAACTTTTTCATATTAACCCATTCCAAAAAAAGAACTAAAGAAAATTGAACATATGTTTTATTTTAAAACAGCACACAGCCTCAACAGTTACATTTTTTAGAAAACCTTTGGGGTTGTTATCAATTGGTGGAAAAATATTTATGCAGGTGATTTTTTCAATTTTAGAAATTTGACAAAAGCCTAAGCACTTACAAGGGGATGACTAAACAAGGAGTCTTAACTAAGCTAATTTTAGCTCAGGGTTTAAAAAACTATTCAGAACTTTTTACACAATGTCTTCTTTGCAATGACTTAATTCTACAATACTTTTAAGTGCAGAAATTTAAATCAAATTGGTTTAGTCTAAGAATTTCTGATAGTAATCTGTTGCATCTTAAAACAAGGTTAGAAGCTAACATTTTTATCTATACCCTGGAACACAAGGATTTTATACAAGAGGACTTTTTTTGTGAAGTCAAGGCTGAGCCATTCTGAAGAAATTAGGCTTATTTCCTTGGGGAGTAATGAAAACTTAATGAGGTCATTAAAAGTACATAGCTTATAGAATGTGTAAGCTATTACAATTCTTAATTAAGGAAATAGGTTATTGAATAACCCCAGTATGCAAAGCTACTATTTTTATATTCAGTTGAGGCAATACAGAAGTTTGTTTAACCTAAATGTTTTCATGTTACAATTGTATTTCTTTTAGCTTTAGATCTTTTTTTAAAAGCATATCATACATCAGCAATAATGGGGGTTGGGGGACAGAAGTGAGTCTTATAAAAACATTTAAGAATTTGTACAGTTTAAGATTTCTGTCTTGTGTGTTTCTTAGAACCTTTCTGTTGCTTTTTGCCATGTTTGAAGCTGAATCATAACTTATATTTTAGAGGTTATATATTAGCTTGGTAATGTTCATTTAAAAAAATAATTCAAAAAGTTAAACTTCTGAAGAGACTTCTATTTGCTAATTCTAGATGCACCTTGGTGTGGAGTCAAAAGTACACATGCTGGTTCAAAATATGTAAAAACGTCATTTCCTACCAAAAAGAAATGGGAAAATGGGCACTGTTTGAAAGACAGAAATGAACCTTGCCATATAATGTAAGTATTTTGTTTTCATGGTCTTCAAAACTATTAAAACCAACCACCAAATGCCACTTAACAAAATGAACTCAAGGGACATAAAGTTGGGTGAAGTCCAAATGAAGTTCAGATCAAATACAACCATTTTAATGCAGTGGTTTTTAGGAATTTGCACCTGAATTGCTCTATTTCAGCTCCTCTTTTTATATCCTCTCTACCCCAGTGGTTTTATTGCTGCAGTGAGAACTTCGTGTGATTTTGGTCACTTGTCATTTTGTAGAGAGGGAAAAGATCTTAATGCTTTCCATATAGGAACACCTTACCTGGTTTAAGTTCTGTTCTCATGCAGCTTCCTGTTGATGGTTATAAAAATGCAATCTTAAGACCTTTTTAATGGTATCTGTACTTTGAATGATTTAAAAACTTGAATAAACCTAAGAAATAACACATGAGAATTTCCTTTTTCCAAACAAAAAGAGGGGTAGAACTTTATAGATTTTTGTTTTCCTTAAATTCATAATCTTTTTGATTATAATGTACAGGCAGAAAAGTGAATTAATTTTACCAAAACATATTGGAAAGACTTTTTGCTTTATTAAACATGCTAGTGTTGGCAAATACTTTAGAACTTAACTCAGGGGTCCTCAAGCTACGGCCCGCGGGCCACATGCAAATACAAATATTATATTTGTTCCCGTTTTGTTTTTTTACTTCAAAATAAGGTATGTGCAGTGTGCATAGGAATTTGTTCATAGTTTTTTTTTTAAACTATAGTCCGGCCCTCCAACGGTCTGAGGGACAGTGAACTGGCCCCTTTTAAAAAGTTTGAGGACCCCTGACTTAACTGTTTTAAAACCCCTGGGTGAGGAATATATTCTGCTTAGTAAGGAATCACTTGTAATTTTTCTGAAATGTACATTCTTGCAAATTCAGAATATAACACCTTACCTGGTTTAAGTTCTGTTCTCATGAAGCTTCCTGTTGATGGTTATAAAAAGGCAATCTATACTCCATTTTCTATACTATCTTACTGTTAAGTATACCTGTTGACTTTAGCTATACATTTACAAGACGAAATTTAAACATGTTTCTAAATGCCGACAGTTAAGAGCTAAAAATGCATGATTCGCAACTACAATCATGAATACCAGTTCTGAATAGGCAGAGCTTGGGAAAATCAACATCTGCAAACTGAAAAGCTTAAGCCACATTTCAAAAACACACCTGCCACAGTCAAATTAACTAATTGGCAAGTTAAAATTCCTACTTACAAAGTCGTTTTAATCAAATTCCATCTATTAACAGTTCTTTATTTTAATTATTTGTATAGAGATCTCCCTTCTAAATAAATTCCTTGAAGCACATTTTGGAGGTCTTGCTATATGCCATTTTACTGAGGCTATATAGAAGAATCCAGGCAGTCCCTTCCCTCATCTATCCACCAATGAGTAGGTACATTGTGCCAGGCACTTTGGATAAGGCACTAATTGAGTCAGACGAGGATTCCTTCCCTCTGGAACAAACAAGCACATAAAAAGTATAATTCTAGCTGGTAGTGGTGTTATAGAAGTATGAATGTGTGACTGGGACCATAGGACATAGCAACTGCCCGCCTTGAGGGGAAATAAGAGAACTAAAGTGACATTTCAACTGTTTTACTAACTGGAAATTATGCCAGACCAAGATAAACACGCCGAGCAAAGGCAGACTGTTAGAGGACTTAGCTGCTCCAGGGGAACAGTGAGTTAGGGTGCCAGAAAGTAGGATGCACGAGTAAGTGATCAGTCTGGGAAGGTAGAGTGAGGCCAGATTGTGAGGGCTCTTCTGTGCCAACTTTAGTAGTTTAGATTTTATCAGGACCCAAAGGATTTTAAACGGGAAAATGGCAGCTTTTTTCTTAAGCTGTAACTGGTATCAGTGTGGAGAAAGGACTGGAAAGGAGAAGGGTATCAGGAATCTATTTTGCACAGTATTATGCAAGTTCCAATTCCAAATAGTTTAATAGAGGAAAATTCTGCAATTTACGAAGAAAATTGGATCTTTAGTGTCAATTTAAATGTTAACAGATTTACTTTCAGCATATTTTTGACTGTCAGATAACAAAAATTCAGTCAGTTCATTTAGTATACAAATTAAGCAAGCATTTTGTGCTACTTTTACAGAATAAAGTTCCAGTTAATCTTTAATCTCCATCCCTAATACCATTTGGTGTTTTATATTTAAGAAACTGATAAAAAGGAACAAAAAGCTTAAGATAAAGACTATTTAAATGTTTAATTTTTACTTTAAAACTTTATAATTCATGTATAAAAATATTCTATCTATATATAAGAATGCTAGAAAACATTACTGATAATTATTTTAGGGAGAAATTGAAAGAATAACACCTGGGCTATTCTCTGTATGGCAGGGGGAAAAGTACAGGAAAAGAAAGCCCAGTCTCCCCCCCTACCAAACACATTATTCCGAGTAAATAACTTCCTTGGCTTTCATTGTGCTAGTGATCATGCCACAGTTTCTTGCTATCCTTTACTACTAGTTCTCTAAGCAGTGGCTTTCAAATTTTGATGGCTGTCCCCACAATGACCTACATTGACGCATTACACATGTACATACATAAATGAAATAGTACTTGCCTACATGCACTGTACTTTTCCTTTTGTAACTTTCAATTTTTTAAAAGCTTACCATGACCCAGTAATGAGTATGTAATGACCCACAGTTTAAAAGGACTCATTTCTACCAGGTTAATTCCCTAATTGAGGTACACATAATATAGGCTGCCTTTATAATTTATTTGAAACTGGTTTTTGGCTCTAGTTATATGCAAAAACTACCACAGAAATCTCTAATTACTCTAATTAAAATATCCTAGCAGTTAAACTTTCTGATAGTGCTGAAAACTTTAATACCCGCTTAAGCTTATTAAAAGTGCTAGTATCATTCTTTATGTGGAAAAAGATAAATAGCTTTAAAACAGAATATGTAATTGGAAATTTAAACCATCTATTTTTGTTTTTAGTCAAATATTGGAGATAATGGCAGCAGTGAGAGATGAGGATCCACTGGAATTAGCCAATGAGCTATACAATAATACCATTAAAGTATTTTTTCCTGACATGTAATTGGTATGTATTTTCCATCATGTATGTGAAATTTCATGGTAAAACTTAGTTTCAATAAAGGAATTCTCTGGAATTTGTCTAAAGAGGTATTATATACATCACTGCACACCATCTCCCTTATTTCTATCTATAAAACCAGGATTTTTTTAATGTCACTTAATACCTCAGCTTAAAAGAATGAAAATCACCAAGTATTTAATTTTATAATCTCTTCAGAAGTCCAAAAGGACAATTTTATGTCAATGCTGCAAACACAGAATGGCTAACAAATATACTGATTTTCACATCAAAATTAAACACATTCTGGTTCATACCAGATATGTTGATACATACCTGATATACATACATACCTGATATATGCCTGTTTCTCAACTCACAATATCCAAATCTTGACTTTTGAACTCAGCTCAACTACAGTGCTACTCAAATTTCAAAAAAAGTCTCAATCACTTCTGGCAGCCTACTTTTTCCTTAGTTCATAAAAATATATCCTTTATCCTCTGGTCCAAATTATTTTATTTCCTTGATTTAATGTGGTTTCCTCTGATTTGCTTTTTCATTCTCCCACCTATCTTAAAGAAACACTAGGGGCCAGAATTATACACTTTCATTTAGGAATCTTTGGCACAGTTGGCGCACTGTATTATCGTTATATCTATTAAAAAGCTATTTGTTCAAATTTTGTCATAAAAACGTGAAAACATTTTATTCTATGTACAATAATGTACACAAATTTAAATAGGTCACCAAAGAGACCAGAAGTAATTAAAGAGGTATATTTACAGTAGCACATCACAGTAAACGGAAAACCATTCACAGATTCAACATTGACTGTTTTTGTGCTTGGTTACACAATGAAGTGAAGCATATTAACTCCATTTTGGATGAACTGAATTTTGAACAAATAACCTCAATGATTAGTAAATGCTGTTTAATCAGTCAGTGTCCTCATTAAATTCTTCAGCTGCTGTACCTGTATTCTGAATCACTCCATTTCTTTCTGTTTGAACATCATCCTCACAATCTGTACTGTCATCTTCATTCAATTCCCTGTCAGATTCGGCAGCAGCAGCCTCTCTTACAGCTTCCTCTGCATTTTCATTAGGTGCAATAAATCCGTTGTTGCTACGTATATTTGAATTAGCCTTGATATCATCTTCAGTGTATACTTTTTGATGGCACATTGGACAAGTATCTTGAATGTACAGCCATTTCCGAAGGCAAAGTGCATGGAAATAATGATTACATGGTGTCATACGAGCAGATGTAGTAAACTCATGATAGCAGATTGCACAGACATCATCTATTTCTTGTAAGCGGCTCCCTTTTATTTCAGGAAGTGAATTAATTTTCTTAACAGCAGTCCTACGATTCATGAATGTCTTCCAGCCATTTTTTGCTTGTAAGTAGATGTTAAAATACGCATGTAGACACATCATACAAGCCCGAATTTTACTTCCTGACTCAAACATCATAGTATAAGCCCCATTTCCAAACATTACTACTCCAAATATAAATTCAATAATATTGCCTGTTGAACGAACATAGTAGACATAATCATCAAGCTTTTCCCAGAGGACATTATAGTAGCCATCAATCATGAATAACGTATAAACAGTGAGAGAAACAATTACTTTTAAGCAGAGTTCCACACAGAAGGCTGTAACGGCAAACAACCATGTGTTTAGTGCATAGTGATGCCAAAGAACATAACTGAGTAAAACAGGAAGAATAAACAGGCAAGCAGAGACAAAGAGCACAGGAAAATGTCTACGAAAAGATGACACATGAGAGGCACTGAGAGACATTAATACGGGGTCTGTCATTCCATGGATGAAATGCAGGACTGCAGTTAATAAAAGGCACATGTTTCTACTTAAGCGAATAAGTCTCTCTTCTGGTCTTAGCCCACTTAAACCAGTCTGAAGAGCCAAAATAAAAAATAAAACAGGTGCTACAAAGCCAAGTCGCCTGTCGTCTTCTTCAGTTGATCCAATAAAGGCCAATATTCCAAGGCCCAAATAATGGGCTATTGAGGAAATTACAGCACTCATGCCCAGCACAGTTAGTGTAGAATCACATCCACTAATTATAAGATTGCAAATGAGGTCCCAGAAATCGTCCCAAGAAATAAAGAAGGAATCAGTTTCACTTGCCATCCTTAAAATGTACATTAACACTGTAGCCTGAGCTGTAATTCTTGTTAGCCAAAAGACTCTCAGTATATCTGGGAAACGGATCCTCTTCCATGTGTCCTCCATTAATAATTGTAATCCATAAATTCGATACATGTGCCTCACTAAAAGATAAACATACCGTGTGGAATAATAAAACCACCTAAGTTTCACTGCCAAGACAAACAGTGTGTTTAATATAAGAATCAAGGAAGAAGTAAAAACTAAAGTCTCCCGGACGTGTAATGGTAGCTCTGTGATTAAGCCTATTACAGGAACCAAGAGATCCAAAATAATTAATTGTGAATAGATGGAATGAATTTGGAGTAGTGTAATGTATCCAATTCCAAATGTTAGCTGTAGAACAATGAGTGCCATCCATTGTGAGGGCCCTTTCCGAGGAAGCAGTTCAATTCCAAAAGCTGACGTGTTGTAGGCACCATAGAAGTCAATGTGCAAAACAGCATAATAATTTACCAACACTGAAGTTGCAGCTAATAGAAAGGCTGCGCTGTACATGTAAAACTTGAAAAGTGATCGCTGTGACAATATCAGAACAATACTGGATACAAATATACCTGAAAAAAAAGAAAAAAAGGTCATGTGAAACGTTTTAAAGAATATTTTCCCACTAATAGTTATAGTCTACCTTTAGGAAATTAAATTATGAACATTAAGCCTCAAGGCAATTTAGGTTTAAAGGCCAAAAGAGTTTTGTAAAGTCAGTTCAACAGGACAGACAAAACATTTTTAAAAATCTTATTAGAATTACAATTTCCAAAGTAATTTAAATAGTACCATATACCCAGGCACTAAATTACCTTTGAGTTTGTAATGACATACATTTTAATAAGTTTTAAAATCTTTAAAGAACATGTCCTTTTAAATTTTATAATTAAAAATAATTAAAATAATTCCATGACAAAAACATTACAATTAAAAATAACCAAAATGGAAAACACTTGTTCCTATTAAATCTTAAAATTCTTTTTCTTAAAAGTATTCTTTAGGAAATTGAGTTTAAGTTTTATACTTACATCTAATTCCTCCTTTTCCTCAAGCTGAACTCCAGGTGGCTCTTATTTTTCCTGCTCCTTAAATTGAGCATTCTCCCCTGCGTCCAAATTCAGTTGCCCCCCCGCCCCCCCCAATTACCTTGCAAGTTTCAGAAATGTCTTTCAAGTTCCTTGTTTTCTATACATTACGGAATCTTTTTCTTCAAATAGTCTACCCTTTTTATTGTTCTTCAAATTACAAAAGTAGCATTACGAAAACCAAAACATTTAGAAAACAGTAATAAATCCTCCTCCCCACTCCATACTTAACCAATGTATGGTCTGAAGTGTATTTAGAAGCATCTTTCTTTGTGCTCTGACAAATTTTTAAGTGAGATTACAATAAACATTATCCAAGGTTTCAACTATGGAAACGATATCCAAATAGCCACCAAGTACCCTAGCCAGTGTGGCTCAGTAAATAGAGCATTAGCCTGTGGACTGAAGAAGGGTCATATAGCTGGTTCAAAACAGGTCAAGGGCACATACCTCGATTGCAGGGCTTGATCTCTGGCCCTGGTTGGGTCATGTGTGAGAGGCAACCAATCCATGTCTCTCTCTCTCTCTCTCACTCTCTGTCTCTCCCCCTCCCTTCCACTTTCTCTAAAAAATTAAATCAACAGAAAAATATCCTTGGGTGAGGATTGACAAAAAAATAAAAATAAATAGCCACCTACTAGCACTTCTACATTACAACTGTAACATTCAAAATTTCTAAAACTTAACTTACCTCAAATGGCTCTTGTGATTTCTAATTTCAGTGAAAGGTACCATTATTCTCTTAATGGTGCCTTCTAGCCCTGTACCCTCGAACTTGACAGTCTCCAAATTCTAACAACTATTATCTCTTCTTTTCACCAACCTATTAGTTTGTCTCTAACTAAAAACTCATCTTGTCCAAATCCATCTACAAGCCATCACCAATATGCCTTCATTTCTTTCTTCAAAATACTGTGGCAGCTCTGAAATAGTAATAATAACTAAAATCTGTATTTCTTATCCTAGAAATCAAGGATCCAGCTGGCCTTAGAATAATGCTCCTCTCAAAGCACACACCATAGCTCCAGACTTCTTCCCAAAAACACCCTTTCGTTGCCATAACTGCAACTGCGTTTACATTTTTATCTGCTTGTCATCTTGGTCCCACCCTGACTGCTCAAATCCTGTCCATCTTAAAGACCCACTTTCTCTGATAGTGACTGTTCCTCTCCAGCATATCTACAAAACCTGGTGAAACACCTAATACTCATATACTACCCGATATTGAAGTTTGTAGGTATCATCTACCCTGTTAGATAATGTCTTTGAGAGTAAGCAAGGATACTACCTTGTATATCTATGGATCACAAAATATTTTGTAGAAAATAAATGCAATTACTATTCATTGGGGAACTAAATGTTTCTGTTGAATTCTGGATTATGTTTTTAAAGGAAACTACAAAATACAGCTCACTTAGAAATTGATATATATGAGGTCAGACAAAGCTAAGAAACTAGAGCTTGGCCCTAACCGGTTTGGCTCAGTGGATAGAGCATCAGCCTGCGTTCTGAAAGGTCCCAGGTTCGATTCTGGTCAAGGGCATATACCTTGGTTGTGGGCACATCCCCAGTAGGAGGTGTGCAGGAGGCGGGTGATCGATGTTCCTCTCTCATCTATGTTTCTATCTCTCTATCCCTCTCCCTTCCTCTCTGTAAAAAAATCAATAAAATATATTTTTAAAAAAAGAAACTAGAGCTTAGAGTATAGAAAACGTGACACACTCCAAATAAAATATCTATCCATCCTCCTTATTTCAGCATGCAATCAAGAAAGACTGCATATTACATACAGTGGAGGCATTTCATAA